CTGGTTATATCTCCTGTTAACAATGAATGGCATTCTTGTGGCAACCGTGTGACAAAGTTGTATTTCAAAGGTCTCTGAAAGTCCTAAGAGGAAGATTAGCAAACTGCATAGGAGTTCCTGGGAGCACTCGAGGTTCAAAGGCTGCAGATAGAAATCTTCTACCTTACTGCTGACTACGGAGCAACTCCGCTGCCAAATGTGTTCCGGGCCAACTGAGGAAAAGGCCAGACTCTTGGACAAACAAAAGGACAAAACTTTCTTTTCAGTGAACAAAAAGAAAGTAACAGTATAAATTAAACAAATTAGCATCTATTTTTAAATATTTTTGAAATGGAACAGATAATTTAAGGAATTTTTTTAACTTCTCCCTACTTCCTATCCATCTAGCTTCTATTTTGCTCTTTAGAGATGGCATGAGGTATTTCAGCTTGTGTGTCTGGCTTATTTCACTTAGCTTTATGTCCTGAAGTTACACCCATTTACCTACGTGTGTCTCCCCTTTGTCAGAGTCTTTTCTTGTCCAAGGCTGGTACTCTGAGTACCACTTTGGCCATCCAAGATCACGGTGCACAATGTATGAACTATTGTTACTCCCTAATTACTTCAATATGAAATTTTGTTTTATTTTTTCATAGAAGTGAGAAGAGTGCTTTTTCTCTTTTCATCAATATCTACTTGTCTGTATCTATTTTTAAAAAGACACTTGACAATATGGCCATTGACAGAAATGCACAACTCAAACTAGATCTGCATATTGATTTCTTTATGAACAGTTTTCTTTAAAAAGCTCACCTAACATACCTCTCAAATTGGGAAAACAGTGATAATGAGAAATCCCAATGATGGTGAGCAAGGGTACTGGTGCAGAGGTACTTGGGTGCTGCGGATGGGAACGGAAATTGTACACCCTTTTGAAGGTCAATACGGGGATGTATATATGCACAGACTTTGACCTCCCCAAGTCTGCGTTTAGAGGAATGACTTTTCATACATTGCTGATTAAGGTAATCACAAACACTACAAGGATATACTAAAATCTGGTTTGCACTATTTCTTTATAGTTACCCTTTCCCCTACTCTTGTTCCTATGTCCCTGGAAACCACTAATTTTTCCTTCTATATCTATAGTTTTGTCTTTTCAGTGATGATATGTTAACTGAATCACAGACTATGGAGCCTTCATTCAATCTAATGTGTTACGATTCACCTAAATTATCACATTTGTCAATCACTACTTGTATTGATGAGTAGTGCACTATAAATGGCTGACTAGCATGGTGTAGACGTACCAGTTTGTTTATACCTTTACTACCTGAATGACCTTTTGGGTTGTTTGTGATTTGGGGCAATTGTGAACAGAGGTGCTGCTTTCATAAAGGTTTTGTATGAACCTAAATCTTCATTTCACTAGGCAGATTCCCGGAGTGGAATTGCTGGGCCACAGAATAAGGACCATCATCCTGCCATATTTGTGGTTCTGTATTCATAGATTTAATCAACCTTGGATGGAAAATATCTGGAAAAAAACTGCTTCTGTATTGAACGTGTACAGACTTTTCTTTGTCATTATTCCCAGAACAATACAGTAAAACAACTATTCACATGGTATTTCCATTGCATTACTGTAGGTAATATGATTTGTGCCTAGCTTATGTGCAGATACTGCACCATTCCACGAACAGGACTTGGGCTTCTGTAAATGTTGGTATCTCTGGGAGCAGGGGATCCTGGCACCAATCTACACAGCCAGGGAAGGATGACTGATGTGAATATTCAACTTTATAAGAAACTGCACTATTATAAGCAGCCAAACTACTTCCCAGATTTGCATTCCCACCAGCAGTGTAAGGATTCTAATCGCTCACACCTTCGTCAACATTCAGTATTGTAAGAACCACCCATTTTTGCCTTTCTAATCAGGATGTGGCCACATCTCATCTGGTTTTAATTTGCATTTTCCTAATGATTAATGATGTCAGACATCTTTTCATGTGCCTGTCTACTACCTGTTTATCATCATTGAGGAAATGTCTGTTCTCGTGTTTTTCCCACTATTTTATTTGAGGTACTGGGGATTGAGCCCATGGCCTTTGCCGTGAGCTACATCCCAGCCCTTTTTTAAAACTTTTTTTTTTTTTTGGTACCAGGGATCGAACTCAGGTCCTTGCGCTTGCAAGGCAAGCGAGGGAACCACTGAGCTAAATCCCCGGCCCAAAATTTTTTTTTTTTTTTTGGGGGGGGTACTGGGTATCGAACTTGGGTCCTTGCACTTGCGCAGCAGGCAACGAAACCACTGAGCTAAATCCCCGGGCCTAAAATTTTTTTTTTAATTTTGAGACCAAGTCTCACTAAACTTCCCAGGCTGAGGTTGAGCTCACAACCCTCCCTGCCTCAGCCTCCCAAAGAGATGGGATCACATACATTCACCACCACACTCAGCTTTTTGATCACTTTCCATTGTGTTGTTTTCTTATTATTAGAGCTTGAGAGTTCTTTATATATTTTGGAAACAAGTCCTTTGTTATAGGAATGGTTTGTAAATATTCCCCACCAGTCTGTAGGTTTTTTGTTCAGTCTTTTAGTGAGAGAGTTTTAAATTTTGGGGAAGTCCAATGTATCCATGTGTTCTTTAACAGCTCATGCTTTTGGCATCAGATTAAGAACTCATTATCTAATTTCAAATCATTATGGTCTTTCCTGTTTTGCTCTAAATTTTATAGTCTAATGTTTCATAGTAATAGCTATAGTTATAGCTGGACATTTAAAATGTTGTTTAAAGGCTTAAATATTATGCTATTTAAACTTTGAGACTTGTTTAAATCCTGCGGTGAATGTTGCTATTTTTGCTTCACCAGGCAGTGAGGCTGCTGAGTTCAGACTGAAAGTTCCAACACAAAAGCTATGTTTGCAACATCAGTTTAGCCATGGAAATCTTGGCAGTGCTCTTCAGATGTATCACAAACGTCCATCTCTCAGGCTGGAATCCGGGGTGATCTATCTGTTCCTTTAGTGCTCAAAATCTCCAGTGTGCGAATTGTGACCAGAAGTGCACAGTGTGCCTCAGGAGGGGAACTCAGAGCTTGGATCCTGCTGCTAACCGCCCTGCTCACAGACAGCTGCTCTCTGCAGCTCCTCCTCCTCCATGCTGTCTGGTCTCCTGGGGTCTCCTCTTTTAGTCTCCTAGACAGAAACCCCATTCCATTCCACCCCACACTTCCGTGACTGAGCTTGCACTTGGGCTAGAGGGTGGGAAGACAGATATTTTTAAAAAGCAGCAAGGTTAGCCCTGCCTTCTTGGGACATACAATCCACCGCTACCCTCTACCACAGGATCAGCTGGTCATGGGGATGAGAGAAGAGAGGTCAACTCCGGAGTTCCCTCCCTTTCCAATTGCTCGTGCCAGGCTGAGGGTGCCCGGAGCTACTCTGAGCCGCTTCCAGGACTCATCTGCAGTATGGCTACAGTGAGTTTGGCTGAGAGACACCAGAGGGGAAAACTGAACTCACTCCCAGGCTGGCGGTACTAGGATTTCTGGTGTTTTCTCACAATCTGCCTGTTGTTATTTACTTTTCAAAGTCCTCAAATAGCTACTCCAGGCACTGTGTCACATTCAGTGGGAGAAATGGGTAAAGTGTGCTTATTTCATTTACACAAAACCTAAAATCCAGCTTTAAGACTTTATCACAGGGAGGTAATTTAAGAGGTGTCCTAGGGAAAATGCACATTGTTTAAGACAGCTATAGAGCTTGTGTTATTCTTTGCAAGTAACAAAATCTGGTTGTTTTAACAAATCTGGCTGATTTGAGTCTTTAAGGATATTGAGCAGATTTAAGAGTGTTGGCAAGGAACCAGGTGTGTGGCACACATGTAAACAGCACTCTGGGGGGCTGAGGCAGGAGGACTGCAGGTTAGAGCCCAACTTGGGTGACTTAGTGACTTTGTGAGATCCTGCCTCAGAAATAAAAAATGCCAAGGACAGTTAGGCTGTAACCTGAGAGACTGTGTAGCATGGGATGCCCCCCAAATCCGTGCGCTAGCTAAGATTTAGTGGCCGCCTAAGAGCACCCAGCTTTGGACCCTGTGGATCGCATCCGACACCTGGCATCACTCACCCCGCTGTTGCTGTAGCCGCCTCCGCCTCTGACACGACCTCCACAGTGACCTCCGTCCTCCCTCCTGGTTCACACCCTTCAGACACGTTCACATCGCCTGTCCCTGGAACTCTCCCCTGTAGCCCCTGAGGACACTCTTTCTAGCTCTTTTTTTGAACGTGTTAACTTTAAGCACTGAATTCTACACCAAAGGTGACAGAGGCAGAGTTTCAGGGGAGCCGGACACTCCTGAGAACGAGCTGCCAGAGGAAAGCCTTTGTAAGCAGCAGGGCAGAGCTGGGTCTAAGTGACCTTCCCAAGGGGCTGCCCCTGTCACGCGCGGCACAGGCGAGGTGTAAACAGCGCCCCCGTGGGATTCCTCATTTGCGTACTTGGGACGAACCGGGGCAGCTCTGCTGCTCATTTTCATTTTGCCTTCGACAAAGTTCCCACGGCTCGTGTCCCTTTCTCTCTCACAGCTTTCCGCTGGCTGCATAATTAGTCCCAATTTGTGCTATGTCAACCTCACCCCACCAGATCCCACGAGATTCCGCTCCCATCACGTGCCCGGGCCACATGGCGCCAGGGGCTTCGGCGTGGCACGAAGGGCGCAGCTTGGAACACAGGGCCTTCCGCCATCTTCCTGGCCATTGCCTTTCTCCCCGCCCTCCTCTCATCCCTCTCCTCTTCCCACTTCTCCAAATCCTGAACCGATCTCAAGTCCTCTCCTTTTCCTTTCGTGGGCCTTTCTCTTCTTACCACACCTTATGAGACCCCTCCTGCTTCCCAACGGCTTAAGAAAATACTTCTTTCAACCTCAACCAGTGCCCTCCCCGAGAGAACATTTGGTAAAGAATATATTCCCTCAAAGCAACCACAATTAAATGTTTTTCTTCTTATCCCTCCAGTCAGTTCAAGAATAACCAGAAGAGGATCTGGGGAAGATTTAACCTACTTAGGGGGAAAGGATACATGGTTGCCTGTGTCTCCTCTCTTGAAGAAGCTTATGAAAGTAGCCCCAGTAGCCAGGACGCTCTGAGGAGAACCCCATTGGGGAGAACAATGGCTAAAAATAGTATTTGAGAGGAAATATCTGAGAGGAAAATGATGAAAATGTTGACCAAAGAGTTTAAAGTGTCTTTGAAGAAAAAAGAAAAATAAAAGGACAGCCAACTTTTTAAAACTACATGCAAGTCACCTTCTGTACTTGCTGGAAAGGAAAAGGTATTCACCCAAAGGTGTGGGCTTTCAGCCATGACCTGAAAAGGGTACACCGGGATGGCAGAGAAGAATGAGCAGTGCCCAAAACTCTGGAGAGATCACAAAAGGAACAGCTAGAAGCAGAGCCATCACCATGGGGTCAAAACCAGGCACGACTGCTTCCAGGGGACAGGTGTCAGATGGGCTGCCATTTCCGGGATGGACGCATTCATGGGAACTGGATGGTTCCACAAGGGACTGAAGCCAAAGGAAGCTGGTTTTAAAATCTTACTACAAATGTGTTTGTGAAGCCAGGCCTCAAGCCACCTGGCAGCAAGGTTCTTCTCTGGTGAAAGGAAGTGGAAGGCCCTTGGGGGCCTCCTTGCTTCTTACACTTCTGGCTGTCTCATTTTGATCTTCCCTTGGGTTGCTTCCATTTCTCTTGTAGCTAAGGGCCTGTCACATGCCAGGAACTCTGAGGAGCTCAGGAATTAATGAGACTGCTACCACCCCAGCAGTTCATGGCCTAGTAAAGAAAGAGGTCTAATAAAACCCAGAGCTGAGGAGGAAGACTTCTAGTTACACTTCATAGAAGGAGTGGCTTGAGCAAAGCCTGCAAGAATGTACCCAATGCCTCGGATGTGGCAGGCTAAAGGGCTTTTGATAGGTAAAAGCAAGAGTGTCTGTCATGTGCTGCACACCAATGCTTTCCATGGGTTATTTTACTTAAGTTTACTTTAATAATTTATTGATTGATTCTATATATCAGATTTTAGGGATCTAACCATGATCAGTGGAGTCTCTTTCCTCATGGAAGTTAAGAATCAACTGATACAGCAGGCAGGATATGCCCATGTCCTAATCCACAGATGCTGTGAATATGTTCTGTCACATGGCAAAGGAGAATTAACGTTTGTGTTAGTCTGCTTTTCATCATTGTGACAAGATACCTAAGAAAATCAACTTACAGGAAGAAAGATTGACTTTGGCTGATGGTTTTAGAGGTGTCAGTCCATGGTCACTTGGCTCCATTGCGTCTGGGCCCACAGTGAGGTAGGAGCATCTCCATCTGGGGACCTTTGCGTGGTGTCCTGTTAGCGCTGACCACCCCACTTTGTCACCAGCATTTGAGGCTCCTGGTAACTATACCATAATTCTCATGAGCCACAGAAGTGGAGTGCTGGGATTTTAGATGGTCCACAAGAGAAGGAACTTGAACTCTCGAAGCACCTGGCCACACAACTCCAGTCAGGGCCATGTGGCCCAGAACCATGCAGTAGTCTCTCCTATGCCTTTGACCCTAACACACAGAGAGAGTGTGTCAGTCGAGGTGGGCTAGGGTTGCCTATGATAACAAAATCTGCCCAGCATCTCAGTGACTTAAAAACAAAGCTTACTTCTTGTTTGTGCACCATGTACACCATGGTTCTGCCTCAGCACAGAGCTCCAGGAGCCGGGGTGATCAAAGATCCACCTCAGAAGAGGTTTCCATGACCACCAGAGCAAGAAAGAAGGTAGAGGCCAGCCACACTCTGGCTCCTGAGGGATACACCTGAAAGAAAAAAAACTCTTCTACCCATACTTTCTCAGCCAAAGCAGTTGCATGCACGCCTCCAAGTCTAAAAGGATGAGGACTTACAAACCATCACAGCACATGCTGCTGGCACCCCACCCAGATCTCCTGAGATTCCTCCTGTTGATTTGGATGCTGTCCTGCCCACTGCTGTCCCAGGTCCTTCGCTCACGGTCGACCCTGCCAGGCTTCTCTACAACATCATCCTTGGGCAACTGGACCTGTCATGTAAGCATGTGACAATCACACTGACACCTCCCTGGGTGGCCAGAGTGCAGTGATCAGCCTGAACTCTGGTGTAAAAGCCCTTCCGCTCTCCCCAGGTGCAGACGACACCCCACAGCTCACTGAGCAGCTCCGGGTGGAGCTGGATTCCCCGGAAGCCACACTCTTGCATGCTCCCGCTCTCCCTCCCCACCCTGCATCCCTGACACCTGCACTGCTTTCTGCAGACATCTCTCCCTCGATAAGCTGCATGCACACAAATCCCCATCTGAGGCTCTGCCCTGAGGGAACTTGGCATAAATTACACACTGCACCCTGGAAGAAGAAGAGGGGGGAGTAGATGGAGCAGGAGGAAGAGGAGGGAAAAAAATGAGGAGGAGGAGAAAGGAGAAGGGAGAAGAATGAGGAGGAGCCAGAGGAGAAATAAAATCCTTGGGGGCAGCTCTCATGGCTGTCATCATGAGGACAAATGAACCGAGCATCACACACTGAGCTCCTCCAGGCAAAACTGGAGACAAAGTCTTACATTCAAGGAGGTTATTTGGGAAGTGGTCCCAAGAAAGAGGAGGGAGGGAGAGGGAAATGAAACCAGGAAGAAGGGAAAGTTAATACAAGGATTCACTCTGGTCAGCCGGGGCTCCATGGCACAAGACCTCTGAGCAGCAGTCAAACGCATCCCAGGCCGCCAAGGAGGGAGAACAGGGGGAATTCATCCTGAGCTCCCATCCTGCTGCTAAGGTGGCCATGTGGGTAGCCATTCCTTCCCGATTCCTGATCATGAATGCAGAAATTCCAATAAATTCCCACAGACCCTGCAGCTCGGCATCAGAGATGCCCTGGGAAAGGGACAAGAGGTGCTAGACCCAGAGCCAGCACTGACTCTGCCTTTGGTGTCCACTGCAGCAGTGGCGGACGCCTACCCACGCCAGTCCTGTCCCTGCCTGAACACCCTGCAGGAGTTCCCCAGCCCGCTGAGGTGTGAATGCTAGGGTCACAAGCAATTGTCTTTCGCACCCTTCTTGTTGTCCTTTACCATTCACAGGTATAATTTGTGCAGTTAGAAAACACAAACCACCAACCCATGCAGGGCTCAGAAGACCCTGGTTCCGGGGAGCTGAGGGCACCCACAGCGCCCTCCGGACGTGAGCTACAGGCCAGGGGAAGAGCCCGCTGCCAGAGGATGCCCTGATTTGGCCCCAAGTATTCCTCAGCTGGATTTGACCCTCAGCGTTGTAAAGCTTGAGGTTTCCCCAAAGCCTTGCAAAACACCATCCACCTCCCAGGTGGGACACCTGAATCTGCAGTCAACAGCAAACCAGTACACCTGGCTTCCGTGCAAGTCCTGGCTCACGCGAGAGAAACAGGAAGAAGGCATGGTGTGCCTGGCTCGGCTGAGATGCCTGCACCCTGGCAGCCTTTCCAGGAGCACAAAGGCAGTCAGTCCAGCTCTGAGGCCCCTGCTGCCGCTGCTCTGGCCATTCAGGAGCCCTTGCAGGCCACGGCCAGAGGAAGAGGCGTCTGCCTCCTTCGATTTAAAAAATGAGGACCCCAGATGCCCACTCCTCAAGCCACTTTATCATTTACCCTGAGAAGTGAGCGACACGGTCAAGCCCACCCTGGGACACAGGAAGAGTGTATGGCAGGTGACAGGCGGCAGCCAGCGGCAGCTTCAGTAGGGACCCGGTTCTTCCCGAGGGCCACCAGACTTTGCCGTCCCAAGTAGAAGCAGCACGGAGGTCTGTTCAGCTCAGCCTTGCCCAGAAATCCACACCAAGGCCTTCAGCACACCGGGGACAAGACTGACAATCTCCCTTCTGTGGCATCCCGTGCAGCCTCATGCCCTCCTGTGGACAGGACTTGCAGTTAACTGAGATAAGCCATGGATGGTCGGGTTCAGCATTGGCCCCACTCGGAACCACGGCAGCATCTCCCAGGAAATCAAAGTGTCTTGTCCTCTCCGAGCAGCGAGCTCACATGGCGGGCAGCAGCTGGTCTCTCAGGTCACAGATGCGGAGTGGACCAATCGAGGGTTTTGTCTGCAAGACCTGTGTCGGAGTCCTAGCTCTGTGAGTTCATCACTGAGTGATGTTAGAGAAGAAGCTTAGCTGTTTTCTCACTATAAAATGGAAATAAGACTTCCCACCCAGCCCCTACTTTTCCTTCTGATAAAAGACCACGTCTTTTCTCTCCTCATTGCCCTGCATGGCAAGAGTCAGACAGTGCAACGGTCAAGCAAGACACAGACTCGCCTTTCTCTTCTTGCTTCTGGAAGCTGGCTTAACCTTCTTAGGCTGAACTGGAATAACACCCAACAAGTGGGTTGGGTTTTAGTAATTAGACCACGGCAAGTGGGGCTATATCGCACACGTGTTGGGGTCAGAAGATCATCTATAATTTAGAGAAGCAATGAAATACTTGTTGGCGGTTTGGTTTTCCTGTGAGTGAGAAGTCATGACCTTTTCGACACATCCGGAAGCGCTGGTGAAGTGCAAAGGTTGGCGCTGTCAGAACTGCACTCTGTCAGTGGCTGCATACTTTACGTTATTGCTACGTAACTCATTCTGTACCAAATGGACTGGACTGCCGTAAACAAAGTTACCCAGAAGATGAGGGATGGTAATAAAGATTTCCATGAACATCCCAAATGCACAAATTTCCAGCCAGCTTGTCTTTATCTACATTGAAGTCTCAAATGGGAATTTCTGCAAATTCATAATATTTTGAAATCTGTCTCTCCTTCAAAACTCAAAAATAATCGCTTTGTTTTTAAGAGCTTTTAAAACGGGATGTTTTCCCCACAGTTTCCATTGGACACCATCTAGCCCCTGTGGGACCACCGACTTGCACGTGAGCAGTTCTGGGGATTTTCTCTGCTCCAGATTCTCACACACTCTGAGCTGTCTCAAGCGAACAAAGCAGGATTCGCTCAAGTTTGTCTCTTTCCAACCCGGCAGCGAATGTTCTTCTGAGAGCCAGGCTTGCCACTGTGCACTTGGCCTGGTGCTGTGCCCGGGGGGCCTGGGCTCCTTTGGAAGGAAGAAAACCTGGGCCAACTGCACGGAAGGGACTCAGTACAGCTATGACATAACCACTCAGAGAAGGGAGGGTTGGGAAGGAATAAAATGATGGCTCCCGGTGCCTCAGAGTAGTGGGTGCTGCTTTTTCTTTTTCAAAAGGCACTTTCAAAACACCGTTGGGTTCCACAAGAGACCTCCTGTGACCGTTAATCTTGATATGTCAGCTTCATTGGATTAAGAAGTGTCTCGAAGATTGGCAAAGCACACTGCTGAGTGTTTCTGAGTGGGCCATGGAGGTGTGGTCCACATCCGGGCCCTGGGCCTTTCCTCTGGCACTGTTCTCCTGTGGTTTCCAGCCACCATGCACTGAAGAGCTCTGCTCCACCACACCCTTCCACCATGATGCTTCTGCCCTGGAGCCAGCTGATGGGGCTGAATTCCCTCAACTGTGAGGAAATTAAACCTCTTCTCCCATATGTTACAAGTGCCAGGTATTCTGCCCGGCGATGGGATCACTGACTAACACACCTTTAAGAGCCTGGGGCCACACTCCAACCACCTAATGGGTTGTGGGTCCCCATGTAGACGGGGACATCCCCTGTCTTCCCTGCAGAGGGCACAGAATGCTCCTGCCTGGAAGGCCACACAGAGTTGGCCAGTGAAGCTTTTGGGCTTCCAGCTCCTATAACCCATCCAGAGGCGAATGGTGTCACATTGCTCTCCCTAATCTATTTTTATTCCCCAAGCCTGTTTCTTTGCATGGACCGTATAACCATCTATGACAAAGAACCCGTGGCCTTTCGTCTATGTTTAATGGCTCTAGAAATGGCAAGGCTGAAGGCAGCTGGGAAGGATTAGAATTGGACCGGAAGTCTGTCTGTTGGCAGGAGAGCCACCCAGATTGAGCGGGGCTCCCAGTGATCATGTTACCAAGCGATGAGTCTTGCCGTGTTCCTGTGTCTCTGTCCGCGGGAAGGCTGACGAGAATGGAGAGCTGCACGTACCCAGGGTCCCAGCCTCTGCTTTGGAGGCCACACTGTGTGGGCGGAGGTTGGAGGTTCCAACCGAGAATCCCAGTGGCTACTGTTTAGGAGATAGGCTTTCTGCACTACACACCATGCCGAGGTTTTGCGTACATAGTGTGGCTGCTTTCTCCAGCAGTGCTGTGCGCCACTCTTCTGTTTCAGAGATGGAGAGCTGCGGTGGGATCGGCATCCAAGAGCCAGGCCAGAGCCTGGTTCCCAGGAGGCAGTGGCAGGGCACGCTGTTAGGTTCTCCTCCCCCGACACACAGCCAGGTAGCAGGGGCTGCAGGGCTCCACAGGATGCCAGGTAGCACTCTACACACATGGGTGGGGTTCCACCGGCCAGCTCCTACAGACCTCTGCCTGTGGCCTCCTTTGGCCACCTGAGCCCCCTCCACCCGTGTGTGGAGCAGCAGGAAGGACTACAAAAGCAGGGCCCCAGAGGCGCAGCCCTCAAGCAATGGCCACGATAGCTCGGAGTGAGTGGTCTTTCGAGGCTTCCTTCCCCCAGAGACAGAAGCTACAGGATGTTGAGGGTGTGGGCAGAGAGCAGGCTGGCTTCCTGTAGGGAGTTAGCGCACATGATGAGGGAGGCTTGGCGAGACCCAAACCTGCAGGCAAAGAGTCAGAGTCTGAGTCCCAGGCAGAGCTCCCTCTTGCTCAGGGGAGGCGGGACTTTTCTATTCAGGTCTTCGACTCAAGAGAAGGCGACCTGCTGTTCTCCAAGTCCACTGATTTAAATTCTAATCTCATCCAAAACACAACTTCACAGAAAGCTCTCTCCTTCTAGAATAACGTCTGAGCAAGCTTCCAGGGCCCGCAGCCCAACCAGGCTGACACCCACTGACCAGCACCGTGTTTTGCACGTCCCCCAGGTCCCTGGCAGGACTGCGCTCTGCACACCACGGTGGTCGGTGACACGTTCTGCGCCCTCCCACCTTCTCCTTCCCCCTCTCGATTCCCAGATAAACTTCTTGATCTTGAAGCCTGGTGCCCAGGTTAGCTTCAAGGGAGACTGAGGTGCAACAAGACCTGTTGCTGCTACCAAGCTCCCAAGAGGGTAAGTTAGATGTGAATCCTGCTCTGGTCCTATGTCCAAACCACCGCCACCACCTGGGTGGCCGCGTGCAGTGATGAAGTGTGTGGCCACAGCTGTGTGTGTGGCCACAGCTCTGTGTGTGGCCAGAGGGGGCTTCCTGGAGGAGTGGGAGGAGAGGAAGGAGGTGGAACGGGAATTTTTTACAGTAAAAGACACACTGCCATGAATCCTCCTCAAAACACTCCCCCTGACTTCAAACACATTCATCCCATTTTTCTTACCACTTTCTGAAGCAGATCCGAAGCCTTCTTTCCTGAGTGTCTTTAGTTGTGCTGTTGTGGCTCCTCAATGTCCCGAATTGATTCAAACTATTTCACTTTCATTTTGGCTCTGGGGAAGAGCCAGGAGTCACATGGTGCCAGATCCAGTGAATGAGGTGGATGAGGACACAGTGTCGTGTTTTTACAAGCTGCTTTTCCATTGGAAGACACTCAGCAGCAGCATTCACCATATTTTTGATCACACCTCATGTAGACACCCACAAAAGAGGACTCCAGAGCTGCTTCAGAAAGTGCCAAGAATGATGGGATATGTGCATTCAAAGAGGGGGTAGGGGAGGATTTTGAGGGGGATTCGTCTCTGCTGTAAGAAATTCCCTTTAATTCAAACACTCATCATATTTGCTGATCACCCCTTGTGTATCTCAGGGAGGGCGAGGCTGGAGTTCTGCCTGCCGTGGTCCAGGCTTTGATAACCCAGATAAAGCCTGCTGACAGAGTGGGTCTGACCCTGTCCCCTCAGGAGACCCCTCTCCCTGGAGACATGGCTGCCCGCCTAACCCTCATGGAGGCCCACAGTAGGTGTCGGGCCTCAGGCCAAAGAGCTGGGGATACCATACGCTGTGCACAGCCCACCATGCCAGGGTTGCCCACTCTGTGTTCTTCCATGTCTGCCGTCTTCCCCCGGGGACCCTCCATGACAGGCCACCATGCGTCCGGCTCTCTGCTATCCGCTGAGCCCTGCACCTGGCCCACACATCATGGGGGCCGCATCTCCACCCCATCCTGAGCTTGTCCTCCCCTGTGCCTGGCCACCGGTCCCAAGGCTGGACGCCTGGTCTCAGAGGCCTGGACAACGGAGTCCGCCATGACGACTCCCAGCCTGGAGCAGCAGGAGGAGTGGCTGGGTGACATTTAATCACTCAAGACCCTGAAGTAACAGCCCTGCCCAAGCACCCCATTTCCTGCTGCAGGAGATGGGTGCTCTGCACTGCTTGTTTCAGAGGTGGGAAGACACACCAGCAGGAAGAAATCGATGAATTGATGGCCTCCCTCCAGCTCCAAAGGCCCTGAATCAATTAATTTCCGAGGCACAGGGACTGATACCAAACGGACCCTCAACCAGCTCGAGTTGAACGCAGCAGATGGTTGGTGGATGAGCAGGAAGGTGTATCCCCAAGTTCAATGGCGAAATCAGAGAGGACATCAGAGTCGCCAAGCGGGTCTGGCTCTCCTTCCTCCCTCAGAACCCCTGTCCCTCTCCAAACACAAACATGCCCTCCCCAGCACCCAGCTCACAGGGCAGTGGAGAGGCCAACAAAAATCAAGACACAAAAAGACTTTTAAGGAAAGAAAATAAGGAGGAATAGAGGGGTTGAAAGGAGAGGAGAGGAATGAGAAAAAAAGAAGCAAAATACATCATGTACAGGTACAAATTCTCTATGATGAATGTTATCATTATGTATATCTGAAATGTATCATTATGTATATCTGAAATGTATCATTATGTATATCTGAAAAGAATAAAAAGGAAAAAAAGAAATTGTAAGTAAAAAAGAACGTCCTCTGCTAGAATGTGTGCTCAAATAACCAAATCAAACTCATTTATTATCTGCCTCTCCGTCTGTTCTTAATAGAAAGCAGTTTCACACATTCCTATGGAAACAACATAGTTAACCCTAAGTTGAAGTTAAAAAAAGGAAAAATTTTCCATACAAATATAAAATATCTATGTATTGGGAAAAAAATCAAGAAGCAACTGTTCAGGTTCTGCCAAGCCCCACATGTATACAGCACTGGTTGCCCTGCAGACTCGGGGTGAACTGCTCTGTGGGCCTCACTTTGCAAGGCCCCAGAACAATGATAGGATGGGTATGCATGACCAGATTGGTCCTCATGGGTATCCATACTTCAGGGCTTGTTCATTGACCAGACTGGTCCTCACCAGTATCCATATTTATGACTGGTCCATTGACCAAATTGGTCCTCATGGGTATCTATCTGTACTTCAGGACTAGTCCACTGACATTAGACTTCTGCATCCCTAGAGAGACATGTGTGAAAGTGCCCATGTGGGAAAGTGGCAGAAAAAGTCATAAAGCATGATAGCTTGTTCCCTGGCACTGTGCTCAGGACTCTGCAATTCCTGTTTTAGGACAGACACTGCCACCTCCCTGCCTGAAGATGTCCCATCCATTGGTGAGGGGCCTTGCATGAGGTGTTGTAGACTCGCTGAGGGACAGCGAGAGGCCACAAGCAGGAGAGAGACCTCCCTCCAGCACAAACGCAGTCAGATACTGGGTCACCTTGGTCGGAGATTTAGGAGGGAAGGAGGCTGGGCACTGTGACGTCATCATACTCTTACACAAGAATGCACACAAGATGGTCAGGCTGGTGACTGGCACTCTTGTGCCTTCTTCCCTCCTCTCCGTGTTAGTCTGCCTTTCTGGTGACTTTGATAGGGCCCCTCCTGGTGTCACCTCAGACTTGGTTACCTACCTCTACATCCCCAAGCAGGAATCCAGTCGACTCTGGGATCCTTCCAAATCAGGTCACTTAGGCCTTTGACTAGCGTAGAGCTGGACTTCACAAGGGCCACCCAGCAACAGCAGAGAGGTGGCATAGGATGGACCAGAACAGGGCAGACACTCACTGTCCCTTGGCCAGGAATCAAGGCAGCCTTCCCCTTACAGGAAGGAGGGACAGGAAAACCCAAGGCCCAGTGAGGACACGAACCTCGCTGTGTACATGTAGCAGACTCCCTGGAGGAGAACGGGTCTGCTAGGTTCTTCTTTATGGTCAGGTTATCATCCCTGGGAGAAGGTAATGAAAACTAACTATCTTATTTCCAACTGAAAAGTGCTTTTACGTGTTTTCTTTTGGGTACCAGGGATCGAACTCGGGTCCTTGCACTTATAGAGCAGGCATCGGAACCACTGAGCTAAATCCCTGGCCCATGTTTTCTCTTTTTGAAAGAAGGCCAGCTTGATGTGCTTATTTTGAGAACCTTTGAAATCTAGGACTAGGGCTTCAGCAAAGCTCTTTTTTCCCTTTTCCTGTAGCCAAATGTGCAGCAGGTGTAGCGGGGAGGAAGAGGCCAGGTGGGCACAGACAAAGCCCCCCGGACCTGTTCCAGAAACAGACATCAGCCCCTCCACCTCTGAGGCACCACAGCTGTGCCTGTCACAGCACACACAGCCACTGCAGCAACGCCCTTCATGGATCTGTCTAGAGCACGGTCACCTCCTTGTCAGATCAGATGAGCTCTTTATATATTACTGAGATTTGCCTTTATCTGCACTGCAAATATTTCCCCAAGCTGTCTCTTATCTATTAGGTGTTGTAGGATTTTACCATATAAATGTTTTATTTTTCCACATAATCAGATTTTTCTCTTGCTGCTTCTGAGAGTCTCCTCTTGGTTGCTGGTGATGTGAACAAACACTTCTTACCTCCTAACACTTGGCAGATCGTGCTTAATGCCACACATTTGAAAAAGTCTGCCTTGAATCTGGTCATTTGAATATCCCTCCTCCAATTAGAACCACATGATGTCTCCCAATTTTAATCCCAGTAAAAGTCAAACTTCTTAGGCCACCGTAAGTCACACAGTGGAAAGGCACTCACAAACCCTTTGATACTCCTCCCATCTGGGAGGGGGAGGCGTCTCCTCCTTCACATGAACTTGATGACTTACTTCTCATGAACGTAACGAGGTGAAGGTATTGACAGGTCGCTGCCCAGGACTGGTGTGGCTCAGGCTTGTTCCCCAGAGACTCCCGTGCTGCAGGCTTGGTCCTCAGTGTGGTCATCAGCCCTGTAAGAGGTGGCGCCTCGGTGGCAGTGGGAAGATCATTGGGGGCCGTGCCATCCAAAGGAATTCTAGGAACCAGCCTCCCTCTGTCTTCCTGACTTGAGTTGGGATTCCTCATCCCAACACTGCTGTCCTCCATGAGGTGATGCTACCAAGAGGGGCTGTGCAAGAACCTAGGGAATGCTACTTGGGTTTCCAGCCACCACACTGTGAGATAAATAAACCACTTTTCTTTCTAAGTTAGCCTGCCTCCGGTGTTTCATTACAGTAATGAAAACAGACTAATATAGCCCCTGCTAAGATGATGCTGAGAAAAGGCTGTGGTTTCCATCCTGGGCACATCCTCAGCCTCTCTCCCTTCTCTTCCTCTCTCCCTTCCCCTCCCTCACAGCTCTCATCCCAAGGGAAATAAACTCACATGGTGAGAAAAGGAGGCTTTGTACCAACAGCCAGTGAAGACTGAAACCTGCCAAGCCCCATAGGCATGAGCTCGGAAGAGGGTCTTCCCACCCCAGTCCAGCCCTGGCCCACAGGGTGGCTGCAGCCTCATGAAAGAATCAGAACCAGAACCCGCTGGCTGAGCCACTGCTTGGTTCCTGATCCTGAGTGGCTCTCTGAGACTTTGAGCATTTGCTGCTTCGCACTGCCACGTTCTGGAATCATTTGTCATCTAACAATAGACAAGCACAACAGTGATAAATTGTTCCCCTTGCCCCAGGCTGCACATTTCCTTATAAGGCAAGTCAAATTTTACATCTTCACTCTACTAGATTTGGTTTTCTATATGCAGCAAGGTATATCCACATACTTCTCCCAGGATGAATACTGTTTATATTATTCATTACAAGCCTATGGGCTCTTGACACAGGAGTCATTTAAATAAAGCAGGACCTCTTTCTGGATTCTCCTCTGTTCCACCTGTGAATCCATTGCTCCCTAAGCCAACAGTGATCACTGGGTGGGGAAGGAGAGGGAGGCGACTTGGGACACAGAGGGGTGGAGCCACGGAGGGGACACAGATGTTGCCAGAGGTGCTCCAGGAAGCAGAGAGAAGTACCCTGGTCTTCTGCTTCCTCACATCTTCTGCTAAAGCCTCTCCTCGGCTGAACTTCCCAGGAGAGAGAGGAGGAGGAGGAATTGGCTAGGAAGAGCCTGGGACAATGACACAATTCCAAGAAACTTTCAGCCCCACTGACTGGAGACCTCAGGCAACAGCTGCCCATCAGAGAGGCCCACAAGGCCCCACCTCGCTCGGTCACTGGCTGGGAGGAGCCATGGGGAAGTAGTTTCTGTGCAAACACCACGGTACCCCAGCAGAGCTGCAGCGGGAGCTGCCGGTCGGCCCCACACCGTCCGCAGGAGAGCAAGAAGCACATCCCCACAGGCCCTGCCTTGGTTTGAAAATTCAATATATATTTAAATCAGTGGAACAGAACCACAAGTGGCCTCTAACTGCAAAGCATGGTGTGTTCTCTAACCATATAAACACCTGGTTGGCATCGTGCGTTGTCCAGACACATGTCCCAGGAGAAAAGCACACTCTATTCCGTCTTTGAACTTGCCACAAAATAACTACCTGGGGGGAAAATCAAAATACATTCAATGTGTTCACACTGTCCTGCATGTCATGGCAGCATGGCCACCATGCTCCCAGCAGTGTCCTTGGGCAGCTTTGGACACAGGGCAAAAGCCAGCCTCTGCCCACATGCAGCTCACACCTGGAGGGGGAGATGTGGCTCCCAGGGTGGGGACATGGGGAGCCTCGGTCTGAGGCTGGTCAGTGCCTCAGGGAAGGGCGGGGCGTCACCAGACAGGTCAGCTCAGGAAAACCCCAGAAGAAGGAGCAGCTGAGCCAGGGTGGAACAAAACCAGGGTTTTTGCTCTCTCCAAATGACTCACGACTTACGTTCTGTGCTCCAAGTGCTGCCCAACGGTCATTATTACTGACAAGCGGAAGTCAACATTCAATGCTTAGGACTGGATTGTGAGGTAAAAGAAGTGAGTTTCTTTTCATTACATTCTAGGGCATTTCTGCCCATTCTAGGGTATTTATGACACCAAATATATGAGGTTTTCCTCATGCCAACAAATTCCCATCCTTGCAGACACCACATGAGGCTCCTGCAACTCAATTCGACTCTGGCTCCACCTGCACTGAGCACCAGACCCCATGGGTCCCAGGGCTCAGTCCCACCAGCCTGCCCACACTTCAGATGCCAGCTGGCAGTGTAGGGTCCCTAGGCGACCCACACTTCTGTCCAACTTGGCTATAAATCAGAGATGTCTGTGAACGCCACCCTTGTGGGTTTGATAATTCACTAGAAAAGCCCACAGAACTTTATTTACTATTACCACTGGTCTTAAAGGCTATTTGGAAAGGGTGTGAAGGGGCAGCCAGCTGAAGAGGGACATGGGGCGAGGCCCAGGAGGATGCTGAGCATAGGCCCTTTCGTCCCCATGGAGTCAGATTGTGTCACCCTCTCGGTGTGAGGATGCATTCATCAAACCAAAAATCCCCAACCCTGCTGTTGAAGGCTTACCGAGGCCTGGCTGACAGATGTGATTGCTGAGCCTTCAAGCACAGGGCCGTCTTTCTGGCTGCTTGCCCATGGGGGGCTGTCTAGGAGCCCCCACTGAGAACCATCTCATTAGCACGAGGAACCTGCTCTCGGCACTCAGGGAATCCACAGGTCTCAGGCACTGAGGGCCACGACCGGGCATAAAGACCAAATATACTCATCCCAACCTTCATGATGTTTGTTAAGTAACACAATTACAGTGCAAGTTTCAGGATGCTATTTGCAGCATTTCTGTACAAATAGCGCATTACAGATGCAGGTAGTGCTTATCTCCGATAAATAGCACCCAATTCAGAGTAATTTCTACTGTATTTCCTCCTTAGCACTCTCTTAGCTTAAGAGAGACCTATTATCTGCTATATAAAGACCTCGATCAGATAAATGCAGCTTTCAGAGTTCAGAAGAGTGTCCAAGGCTGATTGGAGGAAATACCACTTATTCTCCTGTATTTCCATATTGATGTTCCCCAGGCTTCCTGCTTTCTATTATTTGCTCATTATGGCTATGATTTAAAAACTATGACTATGAATAATTTAAAATATGTAAAGTTAAGGTAACTGCAACATCCACTCTGCTGGACTAGCCATAGACTCTGCTTCAGAGAGACAAGCTCATAAGACACACCAGACCTCGGCCAGTACAGCTTTCCTTGGCTTAACTAAAGGGTAGAGGACATGAACCATCCTGGCATCCACAACAAGGGCAGAGCAGAAGGCCTAATGAGGTAGAAGAAATAAAGGTAAGTAGAAAGGCGACTATGGAAATTGTAATTCTAAAAAGGCACTTTTAAGAAAACTAGCGGTGCACGCCTATAATCCCAGCACTCTGGAAGACTGAGGCAGGAGGATCACAAGTTCAAGAGCAGCCTGGGCAACTTGGTAAAACATTGTTCCAAACTTTAAAACATTTTTTAAAGTGGCAGGGTGGCTCAGTGAAAAGGCGTTGGGTTCAATCCTCAGTATCACAAAAAAAGAAAAAATAAGAAAAAAAAAATAACTGCACCTTCAGGACGCAAAGTTACCCGAGGTGATCCATACTTTATACCTTTACTCCCTAGGCTCATTTGCTTTTTTAGTCCAGGCTCGTCACACCAAGATGCTTAGTGGTACCATAAATTAACCCAGTAAAATTCTAGGACACTGGAACTGCAGCAAAGCACTCTGACCCTCCCTGGGCGGGTTTCCTTCCTGAGCCATGGCAGTGGTGAGTGCCAGTCACTGGGAAGGGGCTGAGCAGTCTCAGTCTGCATAGCCTCAGCCCAAATTATTCCCCCAGATTAAACTGATTGGACCCCGCATGTTAGCGGAGACTCTGGAGTTCGCCAACCTTCCTGCCTGCTTCCTCTGCCAAGAGATCATGGGAGTGTCACCACGGGAACCACAGCCACTTGGGATGCTAATCAGATCACACCCTCCCCAGGCCATGAGCATTTCCTGGAGTCTCCGGATACTTTGGGAAGCAGTGAATGCAGACTGCGCTCCTTCCCACTAGAGAATGGATTGCATCTGCCTTCCTTTTCAAATCGGTACAGAAAAACAAGCATTAATCAAATCTATCCAACTTTCCCTCTCACTCCCCAGTTTTCACTGTGTCAAGCTTGATGAAAAGCCATGATCACAGGACAGCAGCCACCTACTCTATGCATAGGACAAACAGGACCATTCCAAGGGCTGAGAGATTGTCACTCCTGCTTCTTCCGTATATTGCACTGACGCTGATGCCCCTTGGTGCTTTACTGTTTCGTATTTGGTTAAAGTGTGTACAGCAGGGAAGGGAGACGGGGAAGCCATAGTGTCCCAGAGAGGAGCAGCTACGTCTGTTCAAGAGCGATGTATCTGACAGCAGCAAAGCACAGCTGACCTTCAAGAGGCAGGTTGTCTTCCCAAGCACACTGCAGTGGTGAGTGTCAATCATTATGAAGAGTCCGAGCATTTAACCTGCCTACAAGCTAACAATCAGCTAGCTGCTGTGCCGTGGTAGAAGACACAAGATGCCAGATCAAAGGACCTTGCATGGAACAAGAAACAAGGCTTCATGCTGCATGGCTTCTCCTTGCACCTGCAGATGGTGCAGTACAAGTGACTAAGCCTCGAGTTGGAAACAGAGCTGGCATGTTGAAGAACAGGAAGAACACAGTGTGGAGGTGAGTTGACCAGGCAAAAAGTAGAAAAAAGATATCAGCAAAGTAAGCAGGAGCCAGATTTTCAGGGCCATGGATCATGGTAAGAGTCCTCAATTTTGCTCTAGCCAATAGGAAACTGTGGAACTCTTAGAGCAGGAAGTGCCTCCATCTGACTTAGGCCTGAAAGAGATCCGTGTGGCACCAATGTGGATGAAGATGCACACCAAGGGTGAAAATGTTAGCACAAGTGAGGCGTGAGGATAGCTTGACTAGGAGGCAACGGGGAAATGAAAAAATGTAGCTAGACTTTGGACAATGCATATTGTGAAGCCATAACTCCTATGCATGGAGTCGTATGAAGAGCTGCTGTCCTGGGAGCCAGGGAGGATGGGAATGATGTGGAGAAAAAACAAATGCAGGAGGGGCGGGAGTTAGGAGACAAGATTTGGGCAGTCAGGGGTGTTATAATACCTCCTATCGAACAAAGGCAAGTTGAGAGGCACATGAACTTTGCAGTGTTGGCATTCGGGATGAACAGGAGGACATGAGACAAGATGACCCATTGAATGTGTCTAGGAGAAAAGATCAGACCAATACCACTAATCTGGGCAAAACTTTGGCCATAACAGTAGACTTCACATTGCTTATTGTAAGAAGACAAAACGTTTAGCTCAGTGATGCCGCTGCTTGCCTCGAAAGCACAAGGTCCTGAGTTTGATCCCCGGTACCAAAAAAAAGAAGACAAAACAGTAGCCCAAAATCCATCAATAGGAAACTGATGAAATACTACATCATCAACTAAAACTGTGTTCTATGGTTCATTTACTCAGATAGAAAAAGATTCATTATGTTAAAAGATTATCAACCAAGGGTAGTCTGATTCCATTTTTATTTCAAAGTCACCACTTTAAAAAGAAATATACATTTAAATCTACACCAAAATATTAACTGTAGTTCTGAGTGGTTGTGGATATTTTTGGCTCTATGGTCTCTAAATCTTCTTCAGGGAACATGTAGCATTTGTATAATAGGAGAAAAACTAAGAAAAAATAATCTGATGCCTGTCACTCATCTTTAGGCCTAAGTCTTACTTCTAGAGACTGAATCCTGCCTAGTGACAGGAAGGCATGAAGCCACCTCAGTGAGTCAGAAGGCTCCGTGGTCTTATTTCTCAGCATCACTGTGTGCCCAGTGGTTTGGGACGGTGGCTACACGTGAGAATCACTTGCACCTCTGACTGAGGTGCCCTGGAAAGCAGCCCAACTCTAAGTACTTGTGTGTTCTGGGTGATCCTGCTGGGCAGGACGGGACTGGGAAGCACCGGGAAGGCCTGGCTTGGACTCCAAAGTGCAATCTTGAAAACTGAAAGGAAAGGGAGCTAAAGCAGGAAGAATTGTGGGAGAGAGGAACTAGGAAACAAAGGACTGAAGAGAAATTAATCAAGACTTAAAATTCAAAGAGGAAAAAGGTTGAGAACTCCTCCCACCTCAAAATAGCTTTTCTTTCACACCAGGCACTTATTAGCTGTGAAAGTCTGATCCCAGCACACAAGTCAACAGTAAGGCCAGGCCGTTCCAAAGTGGGGAGCAGGTGTTTCCTGCTGAAAGGGGGTGGGCCAGAACTGTAAATCTCATTTTGGAAGTTTCGAGCCCTGGGGATCTGTTCTGCGGTGCTGCCACACTCACTGCCATCTGGACCAAATCTCAGCTCCCATTTCTGGGGCAGCCAGTATCCAGCTGGCATCCCCAGGGCTGACATTCCTGCACTGGGCTGCGCGAGGGGGAGAACCTGGCCGAGGCAGCCCTGGGGTCTCCTTTCCTGGAAGATCCCCCAGGCCCGCATCCCGCCCGCCTCCTCTCTAATTGGCCCACGCTGCCTGGGAACAATTGAGGTTAAGTGGCCGTCTGCCTGGAGGCTGGGAGAAAGGCCTGGAAGGGAGGCCTTTGTGGCTAGCAGGAGCCTTGCTGTGGCCCAGGATTGAATGAAGCCTCGGCTGCTACTGCAGCTCACTTACAGAGGTAATCTCGGCACCAAAGCAGGCTCTTAGTTTGGGTTTGCAAATTAAACCTCCAGAGTCAAACAGCTCACCCCAGAGCTGCTCTAGACAGACAGATGTCACAAGCAGAAGCCAGAAGGCACTGGAAAGAACTGAGCAAGAGGGAATGTAGGGCTGTGGATCAAGAAAATGGGTTCCTGGTCCACTGCCAGGTGGCTCCACTGAGGAATGGGAAAGGGCCCTCTACTCGGGTCTCCCTAATAGTGAGGGGCAGCTCTGGGCGAGGCTTCTCCTTCTGCACTGTGTGGGGGCGACAGGAAGGCACAGGACATCAAAGGTGTTCACTTTCCACCTTGCAAGCTACACACAACTACACATGTGACACCAGATGTTCTAACTATGCCAGCAAAACCTCCAAAGTCCTTTCCAAGTGCAAACTGTATCCTGATTGCCTTGACCACTAGCCTTGGCGAATCTTGAAGTGCGTGTTAATCAGTTTATCTGGAGGGCTCATTTCTAGCCTTGCCAAAGGGACTGTACCCCGCCTGAGCCCTAACATTAGTCTCCCAACAATGCCTGGCTAAGACCTAACTGGAAAATGAACTTCCGCTGCAATTAATAGCTGGACGTTACCATGGAGATGGCCAGTGTCATGCAGAGGATTATACAGTGGAGCGTCAGGTTACCACGGGTCTGACAAACAACTTGGGTTAATGAGGTCATTGGAAGATTCATCTGCCTCTGTAACCTTTAGCGTGTACCCAGGTAAGCATCCAGATCTCAGCTGTATTGACTTACAACCAACCTGAATGACAACAAGCACTTGGGAACCAATGAAGTTTGTAAGTCAAGGCTCCACTGTTCCTTACAATTCTCAGTGGCTGCTCTGTAATAGCAGGTAAGACAAGGATAGGAGATAGATAAATCAATCCACCCAGCTGTACACCCATCAGTGGACTAATCCAGTACCATGTACCCATGGTCTGGTCACCTCCCCAAAAGCCCACCTACAAGTACATGAGGCTTTGGGGACATATCTTGGTATAAACCCTAACAGGAAGTCTCCCCACCAGGTCTGGTGGGTGATGGAAAGAGCAAAGCAAGCAGGTGTAGACAGCAGAAGCTTCGGGGAGCAGGGCCACCTAACCGGTGGGACAGCCAATGACTGTCCCCTGGGAATACAGGTATGGCATAACCAGAGATGATCTTTCCAGTGCAAGTCAAAAGCTTTCACAATTTATGTGAAATCCCTGTTTTTAAATATTGGCAACTAATTCAAATAAAACACAGGAAGTGGCATGGGTGAAATTATATCTTTGGGCAGATTCAGCATACAGCCTGGCAATTTGTTACCTCTGAGTTTGACCCTGAGCAGGACCTCAGTAAAATGCAGAGGAGGTGGGACAGCAAGCTTTCAAGCTTGAGGTCAGGAAGGGCATCAGAAAGTAGACAGGTCCAGAGACAACACCTGAAGGACCAGACTCCAGAGAGCTGGGGGGGTTGTCTGTCCACCTGCCACACGCGGGGACAGCACCGCCAGGCAGAGAGGAGGACTCCCAGCATGCTGGTGGAGTAGATCTCATTGGCCCTTTGGGTCCTGGGTTTTTCCTTTCAACAACATAGGCATCGAGGCACTGCTTCCAGGTGGGAGTCAAAAGCCACCCAGGGCTCTGTGGGGCTTGCTGAAAAACTCTAAACCCTCTGTGGCTAGGGTAGAATCATCAAAAAACATATTCTGGCCAAATAATGAAAGGAACAGCCTAGAAATCACCTTTTCCAGATGATGGAAGTATAAACAAATGCAGAAATCCAAGAGCCCTGTGGTAGCGGCAACACATTTCCCACTTCCCAAGAAGGGCCAGCTGGGGAGCAGCCAGCTTCCAGAAGGGAAAAGGGCCATGGTGCACCCAGGAAAATGAGATTCCATGTAGCTTCCCAGGTCGATTCCCAGCTGCAGCCTGGGAGCAGAAGCCTCCAGAGCAACAGACTGTAGGAAAGTCAGGAAACAAGTTCTTACTAACCAGGAAGGTCCCTCCTGATAGCTTGGCTCCCACAAGACAGAGTAAAGTTAAAACTTCCTAAAACCCAGTAGAATAGAGGCTCAAAATGAAAGTTTTATTTTTCACGCACCTGGGTCATACATAGCCTGGGAGTGAAACTGGCTTCTCTGGAGAGACTGCAAGTCAGATGGAAAGGACAGAAGCAGCATCAAAGCCTGAGTCTAAAACTGTCCAGTTGGCAAGCTGGCCCTAGGACGCCCCTCCTGACAGTCACACCCTGGTGCAGACCCTCCCACAGTGTAGCAGGGTTGGTCTGCGTGTGACCAATAGTGTGTAGCAGAAGTGACGGCGTCTCACCTCCAGGGCTGGGTTATAAAAAGACTGTGGCTCTGCACCTCACTGTCTCTTGGATGACTCGCTCTGGGAGAAGCCCCAGAAGAGGTTCAAGGGGGAAGAAGCTGAGCTTCCAGACAAACACCAGGGAGTCGCTGAGGCCCTCAGACCAACGGCCTGCAAGTAGCTGAAGCCTGCAGTGACAATGTGAGTGAGCCTGGAAACAGCTCGTTCTCAGCAGAGCCTCAGGATGAGTGCTGGGTGACAGTGTGGATGCAGCCTCAAGGGAGCGTTCTGAACCCCAGCTCCACGAATGCTGACCTTTAGAAACCCTGAGGTAATATGTCCTCAGGGTTTTAAACTACTAAGTTTTGGGGTAATTTTAACACAGCAAGAAGTGCTTTGCTCATGCCCACATCAATAGATGAAGTGGGTGGCAAAGATACCCCATTAGGAAGTAGATGACTGTGATGGTTAACTGTGCGTCATCTTGGATAACAAAGGCCTCGTGGAGCGGTTTAGCTAGTTCCGGGCGTGTCTGAGTGATGCACTTCCTGAAGAGGGAAGACACGAATTGGGTGTGGGTGGCACCAGACTACAGGTTTGTAGCCTGGATGGAATAAGGAGGAAAAGAAGGAGGAAGTCTCACTTCTGCTTTTTTGGGAGGGCACCAGTCTTCACCGCCCCCTTGGGACGTCGTCTCCAGGCTTCCCACACAGACCCTTCGGCTTCCCGATGCGGACTCCCAGGGGACGCTGCAACGGTGCCAGGCCTCTGACTTCTGGCTTGGTCTTCTGCTCTGAAGCATGCAGACAAACCTCTCACAGGTGGCCACTGTATGCATATATTATATCTATATAATCTGTTCCTCCAGTGAACCCTGATACAATGGCTGATCGGCAGCCGAGTGCAGAGGAACTGCCCTACCTCTCCCGAGTGAGGCCCCCAACCCTCTGCTAGGAGGGCTGACTCAGGAGAGAGGGGTCAGGTGGGTGGCTGTGTACAGATGCTGAGCCATGCTCACGATTAAGTTCTTGTGTGTCTTCCAGAACAAGCCTCGAACAGAAATGACCCATCTGCAGGGCATTGCTGTGTGGCTGAGCAGCTCAGGGCCTCCAGGCATCCTGGCAGCACCAAGCCCAAGCCCCACAGACCGGGCAACCCAGGAATTGAGTCGGGTGATTTAAGGTAAAGACCAACTTGCAAGAGCAGCAAATCTTCAGAACTCTTTCCTCCCACTTTTTTTTTTAACAGAGAAGGGAAACATCTCCTGGTGTTTTGGTTTTGTGCCCAGAGCCTTAGCATCGGCCCCACTGTCATTTGAGAATTGAGTGTTATGGTGCTCACTTGTTTTCAGAGTAGCCATTAATCATTTTGCTCTACACTCAGGCCACAGGGTGTTATGATAACCCAATACCTAATCCCCCTCGTGCCTAACTTTGTCCCCTATGCCCTACAAAGCTACCCCAGAGCCCAGTACAGAAGTTGGAGTGGGAAAGTCTGCAGCCTGCCCTCTCTGAGGGGGATTCCCCATGCAGTACCTGTGTCTCTGGCCTGCAGACCCTTCTGTTGCATGACATCCCCAGAGGTGGTGCCTCTGGAGAGGCCGAGTGACTTCCCTACCCTGGCGTTGCAGAGGGCCCCAGCTATTTCTATTTTTAACACTTCCGATCTTAAAATTTCCTTTAGATCCTGAGGCTTAAAGGAACTTGAAATTAGCACAGGCTTCATCTCCAGATTCACAGGGCCTCCACTGTCTTGGCTGTTCATTTTAACCTTAGAGCAAGGCATGGCTGACATAGACTAAATGTGATTTCAAACTCTCCTATCTGGGGCTGGAAAACTGGCGAGGGTTGATATGAGCTTGAGGTACCAAGGCAAAGGCAGCTTGTGACAAGCGGCCTCTGCCAAAAGGTCAAAGTGAAGGACAAGGGGCCTTCGTCACTATGTGCTTGGTGCACTGACAAATACTTGACACCCAAAGTTAAGGAAAGAAAGGTTTATTTACCTCACAGTGTGTAGAGGTTTCAGTTCATAATCCGCTGTCTCCAAAGCAAGGTAGAGGGCATCACAGAGGAGAAACAGTTCAAGGTAGACAGAAGAGAGCAAAAGCAAGCCAGTGACCCACAAGTGATAACAGCGGCTTCTTTCTGCCTCTTTTATATTCCATCTAGGTCACCCAGCTTAGGGCGAGTGCCAGACCAATCAGTGGATTAATTTAGTACTCACACATCCTTAACCTTAGTGCCCTTGAGCCTAGCACAACACCATGAAGCAATCACATACTCTAGATCCAGCCACCTCTAAAAAGCCCCACCTATGATGGGATGAGGCTTTGGGGGACAGCTAGACATGGCCATAACAACTGTGCCTGCTTTAGCACATGTGTCATTGCTTGGGATTCATTACCCTGAGGCTGGGCAGAGAGCATAGGGCCCAATGATTTAGGTTTCAAGCATAGGGAAAGAAGAGACTGTATGGCTCTTTGTGTGTGGAGCTCCCTCAAATCCTCCAGGAAATGTGTGACTGAGCCAAGGTACTGTGTAGGATCCCTCCACGCATTAGTCAGCTTTCTCGGTGTTTAGACACAATGCCCAACACCCACAACTTAAAGGACCAGAGGCTTCATTTGCTCCTGGTTTCCAATCCATGGTCTGCTGGCTCCAAAGCAGAGACATTGTGGGGGAAGGAAGTGGTGGAGCACAGCTGCTTAGTTCATCATGGTCAGGAAGCAGGGGAGGGAAGAATACCAGGGAGGAAGAGGTGAGGGGCCAGACACAAACCTAAAGGCTACACCTCCATGGGTCATGCAGTCACATCTAGAAGTGCATCCCTTAAATCCCTGGGGCAGATCCCAAAGCCATCAAGTTGAAACTCCACCCTAGCTGCCACATCCCCCTTTTCAACTTACCACTCAACACATGTCCTTAGACTGTACTTAATCTCCAAAAAAGACAACAGCAAGTTCATAATTCTGCCTAACATAATACACTATGTACAGTAAGAAATACAGTAATCACTTCTGCCACAGTCTCAATAATTCCGGCATTTTTCAAAAGTCCAAGTCTCTTCTGAGACTCAAGGCAAACCTTTAGCTCTGAAGCTCTGTAAAAGCCAAAAACAAGTTACATAATTCCAAGGTACAGTGGTACAGGGTAAACATTCCCATTACAAAAGGGAGGAATAAGGGCATAGAAAAGAATTGGGCCAAAACAAGACTAAAACCTGCAGTGTAAACAATAAGTCCTGTAGTTTGGTATCTAGCATCTGGGGCATGTAGACCCTCAAGCAGGCAAGCTATGATCCATCAAAGCATCTTGTCTCCACCTTCGGCTTTAATGTGTTAGCAAACACCCATGTTCACATCCAGGCCAGTTCAAAATTTCACTGAGCTGGCTTAAAAGCAGATTTTAGATAACAGAAAAAAAAAAGACCTATGAGAAAAATTTCAAAACATCTAAGTATAATTAGGCTCCTACAAAGAGATAAGACAGAGCCAGCGCACATAATAGTTGAAGAAATAGTTATCTAAGTTTTCCAATTTTGGTGAACAATGCAAATTTACAGATCAAAGATGCTTAGTTCTAAGCAGAATAAAAACAAGCAAACAACTACTAGGCACATCAAAGTCAACTGCTAAAAACCCAAGATAAATAGAAAATTTTCACAGCAGCCAGACAAAAAGAAACTTTACATGTGGGAAAGGGAAATTAGGAATTGTTGGCTTGCCATCAAAAATAGTGGAGGCAGTGGCCAGGGATGAAGCTCAGTGGCACCATACCTGCCAGGGAAGCACAGCTTCTGAGATTGATCCCTGGTACGGGGGGAAAAAACAAAAAAATACACAGCTGTTTTTCTTAAGGTACAGGGACCTCCCCCATACTGGATTTAAAAACAGTGGAGGCAAAAAGTCAGTGCAATGACATCTTCAAACTGGGGGCAATCTGTGAACCCAGAATTATATCATACACACACACACATACACACAGGTGTGCACCCATATATCTATCATTAATTGGGAGGTGGAAATGGAAGGAGGTGGCTGTAAACTACATTTTAGGAGAGATAGCATAATATTAATTGAAAAGCTAAAGCTACTTATTGTAAGCACAAGAGCAACCACTAAAATAAAAAGCCAACAGATAAACTTTGATGGAATTCTAAAAAATATTTAATAGAAAAGAAAGAAAAGTGGAGCAAACACAACCAAGAAAAATGAACTCAAATGGCAAAATGATAGACCTAAATCTACAACAACAATTACAGTGAGTGTAAGTGAACTAAATACTCCATTTAAAGGCAAAGATTATCAGCCTGGTTAAGAAAAACAAAATGGGCTGAGGATGTAGCTCAGGGGTACCACTCCTACCTCACAAGCACAAGGTCCTGAGTTTGATCCCTAATACCAAAAAAAAAAAAAAGAAAAGAAAAACAATTATTTATATGAGAGGCATTTTAAATATAAAGATATAAATAAGTTGAAATAAACTTGTGGAGGACTGTATACCTTGCAAGTAAGAAGTATGGGAAAACCAGCAGGGCCTTGCTAACTCTAAGATACTCTTCGGGACAAAGAGAATTGCCATCAACAAAGAGGGACATTTTATAATTATAGAAGGGTCAATTCTTCTGGGAGATAAGATAACCATAAGTATGTAAGCTAAATAATAGAATGTATAAGTACATAAAGCAAAACTAGAACTAAAAAAGAAAAAATCTATAATGGTAGATGAAGGTGGTTTTTTTTGGGGGGGGGGGACGGAGGATCGAACTCAGGACCTTATGCTTGCAAAGCAGGCACCAGAACCACTGAGCTAAATCCCCAACCCTAGGTGAAGATTTTTAACATTCCTCTCTGTTATCAATAGAAAACTAAATAAAAAATTTGAAAAGCAGTAAGAACAGAGACTTGAAAAACGCTACTGACCAAGTTGGCTTAAATAACATTTGTGGACCAGTCCACCCACAACCTCAGAATACATAGGATACCTCCATCAAGACAGATCGTGTATGGGACCATAAATCAAGTCTCAATAAATCCAGAAGTCTGAAATCCTGCCGCTTATGTTCCGTGTCCAAAATGAAACTGGAAATCAGTAACAAGGCATCTAGGAAAAAAACAAGTGAGTATCTAGAAATTAACACACAAAGAAATCAAAGGTAATTAGAAAATGTTTTGAACTAATAATTAAATATTAAAAATGTGTGAGATGCAGTTAAAATAAGCTTAAAGGCTCAGAAGAAAATTATAGTTATGTGTTTAAGAAACATCTTAAATCAATGATCTCAGTTTTTATCTAACAGCTTGAAATAAAAGCAAAGTAAACCCAAAGCAAAATAAGAGAATAAGATGATAAAATAGAGAAAATTAAAGACAATAAAAGGAGAAAACAGAAAAACATAGGGAAAATTAAGAAGGCTAAAATTTAGTGCTAAGAGACTAACAGAATTTAATTTTTAAGACCCTAGCTACACGAATCAAAAATAAAATAAAATAAAAAGAATCCAAATTACCAAATTTTTTTTTTTTGGTACCGGCGATTGACCTCAGGACCTTGCAATTGCAAGGCAGGCGGTGGAACCACTGAGCTAAATCCCCGGCCCTAAATCACCAATATTAAGAATGAAAGACATTAAAATGATAAGGGAACCTTATGAACAACTATATGACAATAAATTGAGAAATCTAGATGCACAAATTTCATGGAAAAATGCAATATATAGCATACACAAGAGGAAATACATCACGAAACCACCTATACAGTATATATTAAGGAAACCGACTGTTCTCAAGATGCTTCCACAAATAAGACTGCAGGCCAGATGGTTTCATTAGTATATTCACCGAACACTTTTTAAAAACTTAACAGTAGCCCTATACAAACTCAGAAAATAGAAAACTTATTTTATGAGTCTGATTTATTTAACGAGGCCAGGATTTTCCTAATACCAACACCAGACAGAAACCATTACATGACTTTAACTGAGACTGAGACACTCACTGGGAAGGAATCAGGACAGGGTGGATATTCCAGCAAAACACAAGGGATAAGATGTGTCCACAGCTCCACGTACATCTTAGGCAAGCTTTGAACGGAATGAATGAAATGCATAATGCGGAGCTGTCTATTAAACCTGGGCTACGATCCACATACATTGCAGAAATCATATCTAAGAACACATCTTCAAATGCATTAGAATAGCTGGAGTAGATTGGGAGTGGATTTTAGGGACAAGGAGGGAGGACCCGTGGCCAGCAGGTAATACTCAACTCCGTGACGGCTAGGAGACAGGAGGCTGAAAGAGGGGTTCTGGAAGTCGGTGCTATTCGGAGGGTAACAGTAACCAGCCACAACCACAACTTCAAAAATTCTACACATTGCTTAGGAGAAAGTCCAGCGACACGGTTTGCTTCCCAGAAATAGCAAATAAAACTATATGCGGAGAAGCAAAGCCCTGTGACATTCATTATAGCCTTTCCAAAATGGGACGGATGTATTTCCCGGTAAGTGTAAAATGCAAGTCCTAACAGTGCTGGTTTACGTGTTTCAAGGGAACAGCTGTTGGAAACAGAACAGGCCGGCTGCCTGGGTGCTATGAGTGGATCCCTCGATGCAGGAACACGCTCAGTCAGGAGCGGCCCGCCTTCCACTCAGCTAAGCACCCCTTGGTACAGGTCTGCGAGGAACTGCAAGGGACCCGGACCGCACATGTGCAGCTATTCCTACCTGGCCTTTCATTCGCTCCTGGAAACGGGCAGCTCGGCTGGGAGGACATTCTCACCAGGCACGTATGAGAAGGGAGAGGATCCCGCCACTTCACAATCCTACTGTGCTTCAAATTCCGATGTGAGACAGAAGAGGCACAGTTCCGATGTAGCCACTTAGTATGTGAATTACGTATGATCTTTATACCGGAGACTCCTCTCCGTGCCTAACTGCTGGAAAGGGCACAATAAAAACACATTCACAGCCCTACAGAAATAGCAGCAGCCATTAAAGTCGCACTACTGATTAAAGACAATCTCATAATTGAATGTGATTACTTTGGTCTCCTTGCAGCACGATGATCCCGTCTTACCCTGAGGAAAACATTCTGAGACGCCGAGCAGATGCCTGGAACCTCAGATAGCACCAAGTCCTGTTTAGGCTCTGCTTTTTCCTATATATGCATGCCTGTCATAAATTTAATTCATAAATTAGGCACCACAAGAGGTTACCAACAACTAATAATAAAATAGGACAATTATAATAGTATATGATAATAAAATTTTTTAATTTCTAAATTATGTCCTGAATTGTGATGGTTACCTGCAGGTAACCAAAAAGCATCTCCCAGTGATACAAAAATACATATTTTTGTTTGCTTACAACTACTGATAACAGCAGGAAATACCTCAGCAGGACGTCATCACAGAGGACAGAGCCTCTGAGGGGAGGCTCCGCAGCGACTTCAGCGACAAGGCCTCCAGCCCGGGCTTGCCTGTGGGCTCCGGCCCTGTGTTTCTCGGATCTCCGAGCCGCAGAACTCTGAGAAGATCTTCGGGATGCAACGCTCACCACCCTGCAGAGCGGCCTGACCGACCGAGGCAGGCAGTTACCGCAGCCCGGCGCACCTCTGCCAGCGAAAACCCAGTCAACGCAGGCCTCAGAAGCAGGCGGTGCTCTGTGCACGCGTGCACTCTCCAGCCAGAAATGAAACATCTTCGAATCGTCCCGGGGCAAGCTGGGGTGGGGGCGCTTCCCAGCTCACTCCAGAACTCTTCTTACCGATTTTGGCAAATTTTCCCCTCCAGAATGAAACTGCCTTCCACCGCAGAGGGCACCTGGGAGGAAATAGGCTTTGCCACAGCGCCATCTAGTGGTACCTGAAGAGAATTCAAAAGTTTTTTTGTTATGTGGTGGTTTTGTGGGGTTTTCTCATTTTTCCTTTTTTCTTTACCCTCAGTGAAAAGGAGGAAGGGAGCGTTTGGGACCCTGGGGCGTGGACGTTAATGACGGCAGTGCAGACCCTGCCACCGCTCATTCTGGGCGGGACCGGCACCCACCAGAGCAGGTTGAGATGGGGAGGCACCAGCCACACCAACACCCAGGGCTGGGCCAGCACACGCCCACGTCCAGTCTAACAATACACGGGCGAATGACCCGAACAGACCCTTCTCAAGAGAAGAACAAACGGCCCCTAAGTGTATGAAAAAATGTTCAATGTCTCCAACCATCACAGAAATGCAAATCAAAATTACACCGCCATCCTATCTCTCCCCAGTCAGAAAGGCTGTCATCGAAAGACAAAAGGGAAAAAGAACCCCTTATGCTGCTGCTGGGAATGCAAGGAATGTAAACAGTGTGGTCCCAGAAAATCAGTAAGGAGCGTCCTCAAAAGCTGAAAACAGAGCCACTGTTTCATCCAGCTACACAACTCTCAAGATAGCCCTGCAAAAGTAGTCAGCAAGCTACAGAGACACCCACATAACCGTGTTTATCGCAGCACAATTCACAACAGCTAAGCTATGGAAATAGCTTATGTGCCTGCCAACTGGTGAATGGATAAAAAAATGTGATATATATTCATACAATGGAGTATTATTCAGCCACGAAGAAGGATGAAATCATGTCATTTGCAGGAAAATGGATGGAATTGGAGGCCATCATGTTAAGCAAAATAAACCAGAGTCTGAAAGACAAAAATCACATGTTTTCTCTCATATGTGGAAGCTTTTCAAAAAGCCAACAGGAAAGCAGAAGGGAGGCTACTAGAGAAGCTGGAGGAGGGCAGCAGGGACGATGCGTGTCCCCAGACCCGCCACCAGTCCCTCCAGCTGAGGCAGCTGTTTGCTGGATCAGTTTTCCTTCTCCAAATTCAGAAGCTACACACAGTTCATGCTGGCTTTAAGGATGTCATTTAATATAGTCACATGTAGTTCAGTAATTTTCAAGGGTCTGACTGTAAGGATTTTATATAAAGTATGCTTCAGGTTTTGCTTCTTGGTTTGGTGTTTTGCTTTTGGTTTTGTGTCCACTTGGAGCGGTGAGCTACATCTCTGGCCCTTTTTTACTTTTATTGTGAGGCAGGGTGCCAAGTCATCAGGCTGCACACACTGGGCTCGAACTTGCAGTGCCCCTGCCTCAGCCTCCCGGAATGCTGGGATGACAGGTGCGCGCCACCCCCGGGTAGTTCAGCGATTTGGAAGGGACACTATCTGGTCTGGATGGGGGATGTGTGCAGTCAAGCGCACCATCCTTCCAACGTCAAATACCGCACAGGCGAGGGGTGGCAGGACGCAGCGAGATGACGGGTGGCTCCACTCCTAGTATCTCACTCCTCTTTTTCTCCAAGAGAAACGTAAATTTCATTTTATAATTTTGGTTTCAATTTTTCTAAACTCAGTGCCGCCGGGACAATGGCGCTCTGTGGATGCCCGGGCCACAGCTCTCTAATCGGCTGCTCTCTTACTTAGCTGCTGCTTTCCCTTTCCACCCTGCCCAGAGGACTCCCTTACGGGTCCGCTCTTCCGCTGCGTTTGCTGCCCCTCTGTACTCTTCCCCCATTTCCAGGCGGCTCGTTGATCTCTTGTTCTTGCTCCGTGCTGCCTTCCGGTGCTGGGGATGGAACCCAGGCCTTGCGCATCCCAACGAAGGGCTGCACCCCCAAGCTCCAGCCCTGGGGCACTCGGCTCCTTGCCTCAGTTTCTTGGCCGTCCTGTTTCACCTATCTGTCCCTCTAGTTCTGCCTTGGGCTTTATGCTGTCCCATCCGTGCTCTAATGGAGTGACACCCTTGGGTGTCTGATCTCTGAGTCCGTGAGCTTCTTCCTTAGGAGTCTGGGGAAAGCAGAGCATCAGGCTCCCTCCACTTCAACCCCAGAGCCTCTGGTGTGGGCCGAGCAACCTCCCATCCCTGCCCCAGACATCCCACCTCCAAGCTCCTCTAGGCCACAGCCTTGGGATGGGCGTGTGGTGGGGAAGGGCAGGAAGCCCCTCCTCTCTTGTTTCCTGTCTGTGATGCCTGACATCCTGGCCCTCCCCTCCTGGGGGCTCCTGGGGGCCGTGCTGTTGCTCCTGGTCCCCCAAGGAAGCAGCAGGCAGGGACTGTCCCACCGCAGCCCAGGGCAGAGGCAGGAGCCAGGCCAGCAAGCTCTATGCCCCTGAGGTTCGAGTTTCCAGCAGCCTCTCTTCCCTCCTTTGTGGGGCTGCTCTCTCAGGAGGCCAGCAGCACAGCCGCCACCTTCCCATCCGCACTACCGCCTCCTCTCCAGGCTCCGCTCCAGATGGCAAGGTGCAGCTGCAGAAGGAAAGGGCTCCTTGAGAAATTAGAGAAACAAGCACCTAAAGGCAGCGGAAATGATTTCTAGAAAAACGTGACCTTGCCAAACCCACCACAACCCCCAGGATTACGGAATTGAGGATCCATGGAAGAAAATGAGACCCAAGGGTGCTTCTTCTAATCCAGGTCCGGGTGTCCCCAAACTGGAGCCCTCGAAGCCTTCACAGTCAGCGTGGTGCAGGAAATGACCTGATTTGCTGCAGAGATGACTCGTTTTGGATTTGAGGGTACCAGGAAGATGCAAACACTGCAAGTACATGAAGCAAAATGGATAGCACGAAATAGTTTCAGTCCTTGATAGATGCCTAAATAAGTTTCAGATTGTCCCAAAATTCAGTGTCGTTTTCTGAAAGTTCTGATAAGATTTAAGGGAATCATAGGAAATCGGCAGCTACAGCAGGCTTCCCCTGGGCAGGAGGAATGTGACTCCCAGCTCCCTGGTGTCTGCTCCAGATGTCCCTGAAGGAGGCTCCAAGACACAGGGGGTGAGCACATCACACAGCAAGTCTGCACCTGGAGGTCTCCTGCGTGCAGAGCGGTGTTGTGGGGAGGAAGGGGAAAAGAGAGACAGCAAAGGAAGAGGGTAAGTGTGCCTCCCACTTCTGGGCTGGGATTTCAAACCCATCTTCCATCCAACTAGGAGCAGCTCGAGGGCCAGGCGCCTGAACTTCCTGTGCCCAGACCCTGGCTCGTACTATCTCAGCTCACTGAGCTGAATCAGTAGCTGAATCTGTAACTGTGAAGCTGAGGGGTCCACTCCCTGCATGGGCAATTCTAGCTCTGACCGGCCAACGAACCTCAAAGTTTGCTCAACCATAACGAAACACGGAGCCTCTGAAACCCAATTTCGGGACCAACATTGCCACAGCGAAGGATTTCCAGCACCTCCCCCCTTGGTGCACAGATTCCTAGTAATCTCAACTTCGAGACCAGTAACCCCAACAGTACACCTCCAGAGTAAAGGCAGGAGATGCATGCAAAAACTGGTTTCTTTTTAAGCGCTGTGCAAATAATCCAACATCTTCCCATCCCTTTTAGAACTGCAGTGACTATTTACATATAAATATACATACATATTGATCACATTAGAGAAACACTATTCTTAGGAGGATGCAATGAAAAAATTGACTCAGACAATTCAAACATCCACAAGCCTTAATGGAGAAGACGTGCAGGCGGGTTTGCAAGGACTGGAGAAAATGTGTCTGGCAGAGGCGAAGGGCTCCCTTTCGGAACCTGCACAGGGGCTTCCCCTGCCAGCTATGTGGCATGACAGCTTCCAGCCACCCAGGAAAAACTACGGAGGAGTCTATCAAATTGTAAAGGATGCAAATTCTGTTGTAGGAATCTCAAGATGACCACCAGCCAGCCACAGCGGCGCACACCTGTAATCCAACATCTGGAGAGCTGAGGCAGGAGGCTCACAAGTTCAGGTCCAGGCTGGCCAACTTGGAGAAACCTTGTCTCAAAAGCGAAAATACAAAAAAAAAAAAAAAATGCTGGGGATTAGCTTAGTTCAGAGGGCCTGGGTTCAACCCCGAGCACTGCAAAAGAAAGAAGACAGATTGTTTTAAAAAGAGAGAGATCCACCATCCCCAGTGCTGGCTTGCCCCTGCTGAAGGGAAATGTGAAACTGAAGCACTCACCTCGCTGTCCCTGCCTCAGGAAAGTGGGCGAGGTTGGACGAGCAACGTGGTCACTGTGAAACCAGTACCCAAGGCCACGCTACCGTTGACAAGGTACGGCGCGTTTTTGTGCCTGGTTTCAGGTGTGGGGAAAGACTTCGTCTTGCTGTTTCGTGGAACAGCAACGTGGCAGAGTAGACTTAGGCTAAGGCCCTCCCGCTCAGTTTCAGTTTCGTCATGGCCTCCCAAGCACCTGGCCGAGCCCAACATGAGCTTTTGGTATTCCTCCCCACACACTGTTGCAGGAGGTCTTCATCTCTGTCCCGGTTGGCTGGGCCGCACCTGGTCGCCTCGCCTGTGAGATGCCTGTCAGAGACCGAGGCTCCATCACAGCATTCCTAGGATTTTCTGAAGATGCCCAGGTGCCAGAGAACCCGCGCCTTGTGTTGTTGTTTTCTACACTGGGGATGGGACCCAGGGCCTGACGCACCGGCAGCAGCACCCTACCAGCCGGGCCCCAGCATCTTGTTTCTGCTCCATGCTCGCCAAGGGCCACTCTGCCCCGGCAGGGGTGGCAACAAAGCCTGCTCCTCACGCTCCATGTGCCAGCTGGCTGAGGGCAGCAGAGTTGCACTGAGGAAGTAAACAGCCCAGAAACCAGCAGACGAGATTTCGCTTTACAGGAGTCCAACCCAGCCTTAGGCCTCTGACCCTATCCCAAGGATGCAGCAAAGCCAAGCGTGGCTGCTCTGCCCTTGCAGGCCACCCTCCGGTTCTCTGTGCTCTCTGCACTGAGCTCCAGGCAGAGGGGTGCAGGAGCAGGCCCATCCCTGTCCCTGGGCCGAGTTCTGGGACGTCCGGGGGAGCAGTGTGCTGACTGTGGGCCAAAGGACCTGCCGGTACTGCTGACATGGAAGTGGCCCCAAGGACGGCTGAGTCACACACAGGTGCAGGTGTGCACGTGTCTCCCCTCCTCCTAGTGCCCCTGCAGGAGCACTCCGTGAAGTAGCTCAGTCAGGAGTCAGTTAACCGCCCCAGCTACGCCTCTCTCAAATATGGCCTGAATGCCCATAGACAAGTGCAGGGCCTTGCACACTGAAAGGCACACTGCATGTATTATGGATCTGGTTGGGCACTGGGTTCTCCTAAGTGGGCCATGCCGGGTTGTACAGGATGTGCACTGCACAAAGGTGCCACTGAAGAGGCTGGCATTTGCACTGCGGCCATCAAAGATCTGAAAGTTAGAGCTACAATGACAAAACTCTTAGAAGACCACAGATGTAAATCTTCCTCACCTGGGATTAAGGAACGGTCTCTCAGCTCTGCCACCAAAAATACAAGCAACAAAAGAACTCTGGACTTGGTAAAAAAATTTAAACTTTTGTGCTTCGACACCATCAGAAAGTGAAAAGGCAGGCCACAGGATGGAAGAAATTGTGTGCAAATTGTAACTCTGATAAGAGGCTTGAATCTAGAGTGTGTAAAAAATATCTAGGCCTCAGGAGTAAAAAGACAAGCAGATTTTTATTTATTTATTTTTTGGTACTGGGGATCGAACTCAGGTCCTTGCACTTTCGAGGCAGGCAGCGGAAGCACTGAGCTAAATCCCCGGCCCAAGACAAGCCAATTTTACAGTGGGAGAAGCGTCCGAATAGACCTCGCTCTACAGGAGAGGTGTAGACGGCATCACAGCACAAGCATTAGTCACTCGGGAAAGGAAAGCAGCACCGGCAAGCTCCCGCCATCACCCCCAAGGCGGGTCAGTGCTGCCCAGAAGTGGAAACAGTGGGCCCAGCATGGCTGGTGCGACCAGAACCAGCGCCCTTGCTTTGGAGACAGCGGTAGCGCAGCGCCCCATCACCCACTCCCACTCCAGGGCGACGCTCAAAAGAAACAGAACCGTGAAACAGAAACCGAGCGTTCTAGCAGCATCATTTGCGGGAAGCATAGACACACACCCCGGACTGTCCCAGAAAGGGAATAGTACACAGAGAGGAAAATGATTGGCAGCTGCTGCAGCGTGCCAGAGGAGAGCAGCCGGATGCAAAAGACAACAGCTGTGTGGCCTGTTGCTGGGAGGTGTGCGGAGCAGGCGACCAGAGATGCTGCAGGCCAGTTTTCTGCCCACAGCCAGGTGTTTGGGTTCCAGAGATGGGGAGTGACAGCCCCCGAGCAAGGGGCTTCCCTGGGCAGGATGAGATGTTCATAGTGCCAATGACTGCACCACTGTGAATGCATTAAACACCACTGAATTACACACTTTAAAACAGTTAATTGTATCACACCTGAATTTTGTATCAATGAATCTAGTGTCTCTTTAAAGGTACAATGAAACTGATAACAAAAGGTCCAAGGGGCAAAGTTGTTCTGCATTTTGAAGACTGTCTTTTGTTGGTTTGCTTATAATTAGATCTATTCAATAAGACATTCACCCAAGGGTGTATCATACAAGCAGGACCGCTGTGTATGATTGGGCAGGTTGTAGACTCAACAATGACGTGTGTGCCGGGTGTGGTGACACACGCCTGTGCTTCCAGCCCTCAGGAGGAGGCTGAGGCAGGAGGATCGCTACCAACTCAAGGCCAGCCTGGGCTACACAGTGAGACCCTGTCTCAAAAACCCAAAAGAAAAAAAGAAAAAAAATGGTGTCCTCAGTACGTGGCACTGCAGCGCGGTGAGAGCTCCATTTTGGACCGGGTGCTCCGTAGCCTGGGGAGTAGACCGGCCGTGCCCTCAGTCCCTCCGTGGGTCAAACCGCGGCTGTTCTTCATTTCTACTCCTACCTCACCTCGTCAACATCCCGAGTCACCTGAACCCCCTTCCTGATTCCTCTGAATGCTTGGGTCACCAAGAAGGCCAGAGCCGGGCAGATGGGCGGTGGCAGGCAGGAGACCCTGGCCTCCTCTCCGCTGGGCTTGCGGCCTTTCTGATTTCTTCCTGACCTTGTCCTGACCATCTGGGCTCCTTGTGTTCCCTCCAGGCCCTTCGACCCTGCCCTGTGATCCCTGCTCACAGGGGATGGTTTGGCGTTTCTTGCTTCATTCTCCCCAACAGCCTGACATAGCTAGTAGAGTTTAGTGCACAGTTTTGACTATAAAATGAGATGGTATATGTGAAAAAACTTTGAATCTTTATAAAAAACACGTGATTTGGTGACTAGAAGTCACCAGTGAGTGCTTTAAGCTGTGTGTGCTTAGAGGAATTATTTCTCTGGGCCTCCATTTATTCACTTGTGAAACAGATAATACTGGTTGAAAGGAATATATATGCAGACGTTACTGATTTAATGACTGAGTTACATTCCTGCAACTAGGTCATTAAATGAATTGGTCACTAAATGAGGAATCCTATGTACACTATTCAGAACAAATAAACGCTCATAGGAAACTTCAGCTTGCTGGCTTGGCTTTTATTTGCCTAACTCCTCCATGCAGCACTGTCCTACACAGATAAGTAACTTCAGAGCGATGTTTAACTCACCTTTGCTATTATTACAGTGTTTGCTGTTAGTACCACTCCATAGTACATTCCAGATTTCACACTGAACAAATTTTGGGGGGTTCACTCCAGTGCGTCGGCCACCAGCTTGTGAGCCTAGCTCATCCTGGAGAGAGCCAGATCGAATGTTTTTAAATAAATAATAGTTGCACAGAACACTTTAGCAGCAAAGAACCCAAATCTGGCATGGGTCTTCCAGATTCAAGCCTGGACTGTCATTGTCCTTTGAGCCGCAGTTTTGCCATCAGTTAAACGGGGTTCTTGTGAAGGCTAAATCAGGTGTTGCTTGTAAAGAATTAGAACAGAACTTGGTATGTAAGAAGTACTGCAAAAGTATTTGCTCTTACTATTTTGATTAAAATACATATACAAATTATTGCAGATTTTATGGTCAGAATTCCTTATTCCTCTGGGCTGCTCCAGGTTTTTTTGTTTTTCTTTTTGTTTTTTTTTGGTACTGGGGATCGAACTCGGGTCCTTGTGCTTGCCCAGCAGGCCATGAAACCACTGAGCTAAATCCCCTGCCCTACCAGGTTTTTTAAAATAGTGCTCCAATAGAAGCTGATGATCAGGTACAAAACCATTGACCTCTCATGCCAAGTAGAGCTCTCTGCAGGAGAAGAATTCTAAGTCAAAGCCCAGTATTTACATCAGGCTAAGCGCAAATTAAGCACAAAGGAAAACAACTAACAAGAACAATCTGAGGTAGGTATCCCTTTGTGCACATTCAGATTTCAGACACTTGCAAATGATCTGTGGATTCAAAGGAAAAGGACATTGTTTGGCCCCTTGTCCGCAGTGTGGGAGTAAGTTTGCTAGGAACGTGAGGGCTGGCAACTGCTGATGACAGCGACCCAGAACCACACGGCGCCTCCTGATTGCTCCGCTTCCCAGGGGCCTGTCCTGGGGTGGCTGAGTGGACATCGCTGAGATGCTGTGCTGTTCCTGACCTGGAGTTCCCTGGGAAGGGACAAACTGACACACTCAACAGCAAGATTCTTTTAAAAATCCTTGCTGGTATCATACTGGCTGGTCAAAGGGAGAACGATTTTTGCCTATAGAAACTGAGTCAGAACCCTGTCATAGCCCTGCCTGGGTGAGGACCCCAGCGTTACTGGAGTGTGGTCAGGAACCCTGAACTGTGAATCCTAAAGTAGGTGGTATTCTCCTGCAACTATCGGATAGTTTGGTTAGATCAGAAGTTGAAGGCTTGGGGAACTTAGTAGACATACACCCTCTCGGGGTTACTTCTGCAGAAGGTCTTAGTGATTCACATAGAAATTACTAAACCATCTAAAAGTTCTGTGAATCACTAAAACACATGATGAATGCTAATGTCAGTAAGGAAAACATACATAGAAACAACATTGATCTGACCTGCTCTCACGTGTCTGTAGCACACATATGAGAATCTGGACTTCAGATTAAAACATGGAGGGGGATTCATCACCGACCTAGTTACAGAGCTTTTACTGGCTGTGAAGAGGTTACTTGCCACTCAGAAAAGGGGCTCCCTCCGCACATCTTGCTTCTTACAGAAGAGGCTCTTTTTCACCAAATGCAGAAAGGGAGATATTGGCACCTGAGCAAGTAAAATTCCAAATCTTTTAATAAAAGATATAGTAGAATTAAAAGACAAGCTATCAATGGGAGAAAATACTAGACATATACATATATATGTACAGATTTCAGGAGTATAGTAATATCCACAGTATGGACAGAATGCCTACAAATACATAGAAAAAGAATTAAACCACCTCAAAATTGGCAAACAATATGAGTACAAATTCCCAGAAGAAACAAAAATATCTAATAAATACTTTAAAATGTACTGGCCTTTAGTAATAGTCAGTGATGTACAAGTCGGATCTAGAATATGCCATTTTTTCCCATTGCAAGATTTTAAAAAAAACCTAAACATATTAGCAAAACACTAAGAAAGTAATTTTATATTATATTTCCATCTCCATCAAAATCAAGAAAATTTGAGGGGCTGGGGATAGAGCTGTAGAATCCTTGCCTAGCATGTGTGAGGCCCTGGGTTCCATCCCAAACACCAGGAAGAGAGAAAAAAATTCAATGTTAAACTGTAGAACACAATTCCATTTAGGGTTATTAACCCTGAGCAAAGATGAGCTCAGAATACACCTGGCAGCAGGTTGTTAGTAGGCACCACGTGGCCTGTGCCCAGCTGAACTGATTCAGCCCGGGAGCTGGAGCTGATAAGAGAGGCGGGCTGAGCCTCGCTGAGATGTGGGGGTGGGAGGTAGAAGGCTGGCCCTCAGGAGGAAGGCCGGTTCTTTGACCAGGTTCTCTGTGGGGAAGTCAGGCCTAGAGAGCAAAGCCCAGAGCTTGAGCACATAGTGAGCAAAGGAAGGGGCCGAGGTCTTCCACCCGGCTCTGGGTGTGGTAGGTGAGGTCCAAGCTTGTGGCTCCAGGTATTCCAGCTGTTTCTGCTGAGGGTTTGGATACAGAGCCTCCCTCCCTTAATTCTTAGTCTGGTCAACCAAAGCTCACAATCCCGCACAGCTTTCTTGGATGGGACACTACTATAGAATATAAAACTTTCTTTAGTAAGGCTTGTGCTCCTTGTGAGGTATCCTGAAACTTCTCTTTCCTCAAAGTCTGGTCAATGAACAAGTTATTTAAATACCAAACAGTTTCTCTGGTGTGAGAAACAAAGTGTAAATAAGGACTAAAAGGTATGATCATGTGAAATAGGAAGAAAAGGGGCGGAGGGGGAGGGGAAAGGAATTAATGAGAAAACGGAAACAAAGTCTTTCTAAATAGGGGTGGAAGGGGGAAAAATAACCAAGAGAGTATGTAAAGGTGCAAACTTCCAATGATGAATGTCATATTGTACACCTAAAATGTACCAATAAAAGGATAAAATAAAAAGCCTAAACCAGGCAGGTGGCACAAACTTGAAATCTCAGCTTGTAAGGAGGCTGAGCCAGGAGGATTCCAAGTTCTAGGCTGACCTGGACTGCTGATGCAAATTCTGTCTCAAAAAAGGCTGGGGATGGGGCTCTGTGCATGGCCCTGGGTTCAATCCCCAGTACAAGTGCAGGGAGGGGCAGGACCTAAAAATGGTCAAGTTTGTGCCCCAAAATAAGTCAATCCTAATTTGATCTGGGTCTCATCAATGTACTCTGAAACTTGCCAGCTTCATGCCATGGTGTCTGGGCCGCAGAGCTCACACGAGTCTAAGGACTCTGCCTAGCTGCCTCTCAGATGCCCGAGGCTCTCTAGGCCAAAGAGGGGGCCCCATCCCTAATGCTCCCCTAGCCACCTCCACACAGGGCATGAGGGTTTGTCCTCCAAAGTGACACGAGTAGTGGGAAGAAGTTGAGGAGACTTTGACCCTCCCCAAATTTTGGACATAAAACTTGCCAAAGTTATAAAAAAATTATACTATCCCGTATTTTGTTGGAAGCTGTGTGTCTTCCTAAGACATATCCCTTTACAACATCTTGTTCAAAATAGCCAAAAGTCAACCCTTGTTTCCTTTCTCTCTGAAGAAAAAGGCAAACGTTAGGGAGAAGTCTGTCTGGATTTGGCGGCTTCTACAGAGAAAAGAAGCAAAGAAATGCCCCATGACCAAGCTCTGCTGGATACAGGGCGGGGTGGGGGTTATTAGGAAATCTCCAGCCTGGGGTCCTGGAGGGGCAGGCAAGAGGTGGATCAAGAGGAACGCCACCAGCCCTGCCCTGCAAACCCCCGTCCAACCCTGAGTGGAGGGGCAAAATCTGGCAAAAAGAGACCACTTCTCAGGCTAAGAAAATGAAGGGAAATTTAAGCTAGAGAGCACCACTGAGTTACTTCCCTCTGATCCCCATTCCTTTGGGGGTGCTGCTGCCTAGTGAGAGGCCTAGGAGAGGAGCGGGTGAGACACAGAAGCTGATCCACGAGTGTCCTAAAACCCACTGGCTGCCCGGACATCTCTGCCCCCCAGGGTTTTGCCACCCTATTGATAAGAGTCAAGAAAAGCAACTTCAAAGTAACTGGACATTACCCGAGAGAGGAAGAAAGTGCAGATCTGAGAACCTGCTGGGCCGGCTTCCCACTGGAAGGGGCTCAGGGAGCAGGCACAGCTGCTATCGCTCACCCGTGGGGACAGAGAAGACCCAGATCAGGGCCTCCTGTGCTGGTTCCCCAATTAAACCGCACTCGGCCAGTCATCAGGCCCAGTGTTTCTGAAAAGCTCACTGCTTAAAACCAGGGGCTTGGATACCTTTCTCTGGGCACACTGGGGCCTTGCAGGGCGGGCAGCCACCTCTGGAGACGGGGTGGTCGGGGTATGCAATAGAGGCTGTGAGGGAAACCGGGTTGGGAAGGGTCCTACCTGTGTGGATAAGCTAGGGAAAGAGGGGCACCTGCTAAACGATGCAGGGTTGGTCTCTGATTGCTCAGTCACGGCTACAGCTGCCTTCGAGGTGAATCAGGTCAATTGGCGTCCAAGTAAATCTCAGGAAAAAACCCACAGAGCTGCAAAGTGTAAATATTTCTCATCTCAGTGCAGTGCATTAAAAACTTTCTGTGCATTCTGCTCGGAGAAGTGAGCTAATGTTTCTGGAATTATTTTATGCCAAGCATCACCAAAAAAAATCTTATTTACTCCCACAAAGCATGCAGGAAGGGTTTTGCTCCTCAGATCTGAGAACGTGGTTCTCAAACCTGAGCTTGGATCAGATTGAGTGGGTGTGGGGTTAGACCTAAAAATTTCCATTCCTAGCAAGTTCTCTTGAGAAAGCTGATGGCGATCAGAGGTATTTCTAGATGTTTCTCACTGGCAGAAAAATGTGCATAGAAAAGGGTAGTAGTTTAAGTAGCGACGTAGGTAGGGCCGCAAGCACAGAGCTTTTTTAGCAATTTCTCAGGCCAACAAATACCATTTCACTGCATTGAATCCACTGACTTCACAATGGGTAAATGGCTCCAGGGTTATCAAAGACCTGGCTCTCTGAGGCAAATCATTGTGTTGTCACCTCATTATGAATGCAGCAGATGAAAGTTGTGGTTGTCAAAAGTTATTTGTTAACCTCTAATGGTTCATTTTTTTTGTACCGAGGATCAAACTCGGGACCTCGTGCTTGTGAGGCAGGTGGTGGAACCACGGAGCTAAATCCCTGGCCCTTGGTTAATCTTGATTGTCAACTTAATTGGCTTGAGAATTAAGGACATTAGTAAAGCAGACTCTGGGTGGTACACAATGTATGACCTTGGGGACTATATCTGGCCCCTGGCCCTTTCCTCTCTGGTTCTTTCTGTCTCTGCTTCCTGGCCACCATGAGGTGAGCAGCTTTCCTCCGCCAGTCCCTTCCACCATGATGCTTCTGCCTTAAATACAGCAAGCCATGGACTGAACCCTCTAAAACCATGAGCCAAAATAATTTTTTCTCCTTGAAACTGTGTATGTCAGGTATTTTGTCCCAATGACAGAAAACTGACTAATAAAACCCCCAGCTGGAATTGCTGAGGTTTGAGATAAATGTTTACCTCGGGAGAAGGAGCAAAATGGTTACCTGGGGAGGAGGAGCAGGTACCTAAAATACTGTAGCTAGTGTTTAATGTTTTCTTTGTCTAATTGGTGTCTTTATGATTTGATTGCAGTACCTATGTCAATACCACATAGCTGAATACATCTTAGATAAAGGATATTTGCATAATTAATCTTATTTCCTCAACCAGATTACCTATTTTCTTGCCGCTTACACCTGCGTAGTAAAGTACATTATGTTGTGGTAGGGAAATTGCTTTCCTTTTCTGTAGGTAGAGCTTTCATTTAATGACCACATTGTGCAATTTGTAATACATGAGTAATATCCTATGGCTTTGGCTTGCAGGATGCTACTATATTCTCCAAAAGATCAGAGTTGGATTTTTGTGATTCTAAGTATAGCTTGTTTGTTTCTTCCCTTTCTCTAAAGTGACTTTGAGAATGTTCGAAGTTCTGGCAGTTGTAAGAAACATAATTAAAACTGAAGTTTTAATGGATAATGTAAATTTTTCAACTTTTGTAGTTCTCTGGGTGATATGAGTTTGATTTTTTTAATTGGGTTAAAAATGTTTCTATATCGATGTTAAGTTTTCAACAAGGCATATAATTTTTCCATAAAGATAACAGGTGCCAATTTTGAAATCAAAGTTTTGAAAATTGTACTTTGGAGCTGGGCATATTGGTACACACCTGTAATCCCAGCACTCAGGAGGCTGAGGCAGGAGGATTCCCATGAGTTTGAGACCAACCTGGACTACATAGTTCAAGGCCAGCCTGGACTACACTGTGAGACCCTGTCTCAAAAAAAAACAAAAACAAAAACAAAAAAAAACCAAAAAGCTATGTGTGCTACCACATTGTTCTTCCTTTTGTAATCATCCAAATTCCAGGGACTCTCTGTATCCGTTATTTCTATGCCTGTCAGCCTGGAAAAATAGCCATGACTGTTACCCATCTTTCTCATTCTTTAATTGATCATCTAGCAAAATTACTATAATTGCAAAAGCCAAGACCTCAGTTAAAAGGGCAAAGTGTACATGTTCACAAAGGAAGATATACATGCATGAGTATCTGTGTACTTCCCTTGCATTTAAAATCTGCTCTTTTAAATATGTAAAGAAGTGCTGCAAAATTCTCCTACACAGGAGTTGCTGGAGTGCCAGTTTTGCCCAAGCGCCCCTGGGTAAGTGCCTGACTATGAGGAATCAGAATTATAAAGGAGAAAATATAGGATGTAATAGTGATTTGATAATACGGATATAGCACATCCTTAAAGGAGGTGGATCAGTAGTCCTTTTGGTGGTGATGGCCTTAGTTTTGAGACCATGTAGGGCAGTGATGATGAACATTTTAGAGCTTTTGATGATAACAAACAGCCACTGGGGTATGCGTGCCATAGGTTCCCACCATGGGTATAGGGTGTGGGTGTGGGAGAGCAAATGTGTGATCATGGACTATTCTACTCTACCATCCCCTGCATCCTGGGATTCTCTCTCTGTGGGAGAAGAGAGATAACAGATAAGATGAAAGAAGTAAAAATCCTTGGGTCATGAATTCAAGGGTTTTTTGTTTTTGAGACAGGATCTTAGTGTGTGGTCCAGCTTCTTACCTGTCTGCTGGAGAAATAATCAGCATCCTGTCGGCAGCTCACACCCACACCGATCTGGAAACACCATTTCCTGTTAAACCACGCCAAGCTTTCTGGAGAAATGGGTGATGCCAGGGCCAGAGTGGGAAATACATAAAAGGAGCCTGGAACATCTTGTCACATTAGAAAGCAGGGAAGCTACCAGAGACCCCAGGCTTGGTTCTTGCTGAGGCTCCCACTGGCCAGAGACAGATGATAGCAACAGTTACTCAGAGGCATGAGTCAGCAGGAAGCCCATTATGAACGTTACTAAAAGAAACAAGTAACCTTTGGAGCATGACAGAAAACTCTCCTTAGGGGACAGAAAACTCTCCTTAGGGAATAGTAAATTGAACCAAACAATTTTCCTACTTTTGATTTTATAGTTGAAAACATTAGGTAACCAACTACTAGAGGATCTTGTGGTTGAGAGACAGGCAGCGGAACCACTGAGCTAAATCCCCAGCCCAGATTGTTATTTTAGAGAGGTCAGACTGTGATCAGCTCAAGGTCCAGAGATACCACCTAGGCGGTTGCCAAAGGTCCATTTCTTGACCTGAGTAGTGATTGTGGGA